CCTCTTTCCCCCTTTTCCCCCCCTTTCCAACCCCATGCCATGCGTGTGCCAGGATGCGCCACCGCACCGTGGCGCTGGTGGGCGACTCGCTGAGCCACCAGCAGTTCCTCTTGCTGCTCTGCCTGCTCTGCTCGCCCCCCGCCCCCGAGTGCTGCCGCCCAACCACACCCACCCAGTCAACGCAGCCAGCGAGGGCAGGGAGGGCGGGCAGGGCGTGGCGGTGGTGGACGTGGGGTGGCGCTTCAACCTCACGTGGGGCGCGCCTGTGCGCGGCACTGCCAGGGGCGCGACTGTGTGGCTGCCCGGCAGCAATACCACGCTGCTGCAGCGCACGTCCAACCTGCTGTGCCGCGAGGAGGTGCTGCCCGCTGTCGTGCCTGTGGAGGAAGAGGGAGAGGAGGAGGAGGAGGGGGAGGATGAGAAGAAGGAAGGGGGGAGTGAGGGGAGCGTGTAGAGGAGGGCGGGCAGGGTCGGCGGCAAGTGGGGGCGGGGAGGAGGCGGCAGTATCGGCGGGTGGTTCAGGTGTATGAGGCGGACGAGTGGCTGCTGCAGCACCTGTGGCGCCTGGATGTGGTCGTTCTCAGCACCGCCAACCACTGGACTGCCCACAGGTGCGCGCACGGGGAGGGAACATGAGGCGAGGCATACACGCAGGCAGGAAGGCAGGGTCTTCGGGTTGTGTTTCATCACACGCCCCTCACTCCCGCCACCCACTCCTCATTACCTCCGCCCCTCGTCCTCCCGGCCCCTCATTTGCACTGCCTTACATCCCCCCCCCTGTCCGTCCTTCCCGTTCCTTTGCCCCTTATCTCGCCATCCTCCACCTCATTCTCTCCCGTTCAGCTTCAGGGCCAACCAGCGGGCCGTGCAGACCTCCCCCACAGCCCGGCCGTTCGTGCCGTCTGAGAGTCAACTGGAGTCAACGCCATTCCTGGCCGACCTGCGCGGGCAGGCACTGCTGGCAGTCATGCGCTCCCTCGCGCTCTCAGTTGCACACTCACCCCGTGCCGCTGCGCCGCTCATCTTCCTGCGCTCTGCCTTGCCCAGCCATTTCACTGGCGGCACCTTTCAATCCGGTGGCCGCTGCCACATGCATGCAGTGAGTGCACACACCTGGTACGGCCATATGCACGCTGCGTGCACATGCATGAGCACAAGCTGTTGCAGCAAACAGTAGCGCTCTGCTGCACATGCTGCTCCCCACCACCCCATACATATCTGAACATTTCTTCTTCCTTGTTCCCCTCTCTCTCCTCCCCCCGGACCCATTCCCGCCAGGAGCCCCTCTCACCTGCAACAGCGTGCCCACATGCTGCCGACTGCCGTGATGCCGCAGCAGAGGAAGCTGTAGCAGCTGCCAGCGGTGCTGTTGCTGCCACTACAGCTGCTGCCACCGCTGGTACAGAAGCCGGTGCGGCCACCATGCCTGCCGCACCACCCTCTGCCTCGGCCGTGCCTACTTCCGTGTCGGGGCAGCCCAGCATCCCGTGGCTGCGCCTGCTAGACGCCTTCCCGCTCTCCCTCATGCGCCCCGACACCCACGTCGTGGCCTTCCACCCACTCCCAAATGCCCTCCCTCTGCCCCACCCGTTCACGTCAGAGAAACCGCTGCTGCCACACGAGGCAGTGAACGGGTCGGTGGTGGGGCGGGGCGGTGGTGGTGCAGGGGGGGTGCGAGTGGGTGGGATGACGCGTGACTGCGTGCACTGGTGCCTGCCTGGCGTGCCTGACACCTGGAACGAGCTCATGTATGCCGACCTCCTGCAGTCTGACCTTCTCAGAGCCACTTGATTCCACTTACGCTTCTCGTAATGAGCACCCACACAATCTATCTCGACAGCATCATCAGAGCTGGCCCCCTTACAGATGTGATGTGAGCAATAGACGACGCAACAAGGAACCCCCTATGGCACACGAGAGATGCTGCCTCTGTATATCAAGTCAGTGCTATGAGATGCAAGCAACAGCGGGAGTTAAGAGTGGGGAGAGTGAACACAACATGCTCTCGCTCTCAGACTGGTCGGATAGAATTCAGTGACAAGGGCAGGCAAGTGTCGCCCACTCTAGTCCCTGTCCACCGTTCCTCTGCCCCTGCCCTCTGGCTGTTGCTCATTTTGTCAAGCAAGGATGGCGTTCTGCCAGGCCAATGACTCCTCTGCTCTGCACTGCCAACACACCTGTTATCACCATGTTTCCCTAGATCGCACTAAACCGCTACCCCGTACCGTATGTCTCAGCCGCAGTGCAAAGCTAGCTACTTTGCGCCTGAGCTTGTTCTGCCTCCTGCTTGTTCAAGTGTGTACGATCCTTCCTGCAAGCTTTGGGGGTGGATTGTAGCCCCCTGACACTGCTATAGAAGATACAGCATGGCATCCATGATATAAACTCAAACTGTTCTTGCCATCTCCAGGAATAAAATATGAGCTCCAGAAGCATCACGAGGCTGAAACTCGAGAGACATGTCACTTTTGCTGGGCGCAGCAACCTGCAAAACGGCCATGGGCAATTATAACGCATTTTCTGAATATATAAAAGCGGGTATGAAGTGGTGAAGCGCATACCTGCAGGGCATCACGGGCATCGAGTGACTCCTTACTGCCACTCTGCTTGGAGGTCACAGTGAGGCCACCCTCAATGCACAGCAGGTACATCTGCCGCCCCCTCTGCAGTGTGTACTCCAAGCTCCTCGCAGCAGCAGCCGATTCGGGCGTGGCACTCACTGGGCCATCCATCTCCGAGACAAAGATGTTCACATCTTGATTCACGGGAATGATTCCAGACCCGGCATCTTGATTCGAACCATAACGGTCATAGCTGGTTACCACTTGCTGTAGCTTGTTGTGGCGATCGCTCTTGCTGCAAAACATGGGAGGGATTGAAAAGGAGAAAAACAGATACACCAAGTCAGAGACACTTCATGCACATTCCAGTCGCAGGTCTTACAGTCAATACAAGTACTAAGCTATCCATGATGGAAATGACAAAACGATGTGAGAATGAGGGACCAGATACGGACACAATGGACGTGAATGGAATAATGCGCAGAGAAAAAAGGTGGCTTGTGTGTTGCGCAAAGAACCTTGATCTCACCTGAAAGTACGTGAGCAATAATTGGGCTTGAGACCCCTTGCATTCGGCTTCACCCAGATTTGAATAAACCGTTGCCTGCAGGTCCGGATAAGGAGGAGAACAGACAATGCATGGAAACGGGAATAAACTTACAGCAAGGAAAAGTACAGGGTCAACAAGGCTAAAACAATTAGGACAATGCGGATCGTGTTGATGGTCACATCACATGCACGTACAGGTGGTTGGAGTGGTTCATCTCGGAGTGCGTGACGCCCGTGCCCGCACTCATGTACTGCACGCACCCACGCCCCAACGTCTCCGCTGTCCCCATGCTGCCAGGCCCCGGTCACGGTGCAAGAAAACATCACATGATGACAATGGAACGCATTATAACGAACGTTCTCTGCAACGGTTGTCATGAATGGAATCGTGTGCGCATTGAAGCACAACGGCTGGATGGTGGAGGGAGGCGAGTCACGGGGGACGAGGTTCAAATCGAGGGGCTGAGGTTCAAATCGAGGGGCTGAGGTTCAAATCGAGGGGCTGAGGTTCAAATCGAGGGGCTGAGGTTCAAATCGAGGGGCTGAGGTTCAAATCGAGGGGCTGAGGTTCAAATCGAGGGGCTGAGGTTCAAATCGAGGGGCTGAGGTTCAAATCGAGGGGCTGAAGGATAAGTTATGAACCGAGAACGTGAAGGGCGTGTGGGAGGGACGCGCAGCACGCCGAACTGCTGATTGGCCGGGTTGAATTACTCCGCGAAGCTGAAGTGGAAGCGCGACTCCAGCCACCACGTGGGACGGGACACGTACAGCGAGCTGCTCGGAATCTTCCTCATGAATTCCTTCGCCCTGAGAGCAAAAACACGGCGTTTTATGAGAATGCCTGCGCACAAGCGAAGGTCGGAATTCCTACAATGCAACGCTAATGACGAAGAGGAAGGTTAAGGAACTAGGGTCCATTGGACGACGAAATGATCGCTTACATGACCGTGGAGCTTGACCGAATAGAGCCTTCTCTAGTGTAGGCTGTTGTGCGACGAGACGACGAATCTAACGATAAACTTGGTTTAGCGACGGAATTTACGGGAGATGAAAGAAAATGGGCTGACTTTCGCGGGATTGTTACTCTGAAGGCAGTCTTCGCTTTAACAACTAAAGCAGGGTGGTTGAACTCGAAAGAGCTTGTGCGGCTGAATGTCTTGTCGATTGCAGTAAATACGTCATTTGTGAGCAAGAAGGCTACAGGCAGCGGAATCTCGAGCGAGTAGGAACCAAGTAGAAGGCAAAGGCTTCTTGTGAGCTTCTAACCATGAGGAGCATTCAGCGAAAGCAGGAATTGCAAGCGGTAGATGGATGGAAGCAGAAAATTCGTGATGGCGATCGGGCTGGTGAGGAAATGGCCGAAGTGAGTGGAATTCGCCCAACAATTTCTAGGAAATGCGTAGAAGATCGCGAAGAATCTTTCGCCACTACGATTCTCGAGCCTGGCTGCGACGATTACAGCACTCTGCGACAACATTTGAGCACTTCGCTGGCCAGAGCGTGCAAATGACGCTTTCGTTATTGCCTTTCAGCTGCAACGCGTATGAAGGATTATTTTTCACTTCAAAATCCCAAAAGCTCCTTAGAATGATTTAGTAAAAACTCCAAAGTTGAGTCATCGAATTTGCGAGCAAACAAGAAGCAATTTCGTGGCAACCCATCAATGGAACAAAACCCGTTTGATGGCGACTGGAAACAAAGAAACGGAAACAGCACGTACAAATCTCGTTAATTAACATTCAAAGCATGAAAACAGTGCTGCATTGTGAATGCAGAGGAGTGTGATGTAGGAGGAGGCGACGTGAGAGGAAGACTAGGGGAGAGGAGGCGACGGGAGGGTAGGCAACGTGAGGCGGAGGCAGCATGAGGAGAGGCGACATTGGAACTCACCAATTCAGGTTGTGGAAGAGATGGATTTTCGATCTGTGCAGGAAAGAGGAATCAACAACCCTCAGGGTTAGGTACGACAGCAAAATAGACATGACCAGGTCCAACCGACAATCTCATTCAACAGTGCATCCCAGACAAGCAAGTGGGAGAAGTAGGTTTCCAGGCTACCAAAGCCGATTCAACGCATGTAGGAAAAGCGGAATCTTACATAGGAAAAATTGCTCCGAAAATCCTTCCAAAAATTGCGGTAGGAAAGGAATTGCTTGGATGACTGCGCAATCAACCGCATGCCACAAAGGCAGACAGAAAGACATGCAATACCGAGTAAACATAGTCATGGCAGCATTCAGAAAAGTGATGCAAGCTAGTGCGTTGGCATCGAAGAAATGCTGGACAGTGAGGTTTGATCGTGGGTCATACCTTTATACTCGCTATAAGGTCACTGGTGACATTCTCAGCAGCAAAAAGCTTGGGATGCCACTCTGCCAGGCTCCAATCGGCGAAGGTTGTGGGATAGCGGGATATCCCCGAGGGGTCATACAGCTGGACGATAGGCAAAGCAGGGAAAGCGAGTGGGAGAAAGAATGGAAGAGGGCAGGAAAGCAGGAAAGCAGGAGCAGACTGATGCACGACTGTGAGCGTGACGACTGGGAACACCTAGCCCTGTTCCATGTGTCTGTGCTCATAGTCACATGCAGTAGGGCATGATGGTACAATGACAGCTGCAATTTTCACGAAACTAGTCTATATCCACTCACATGCAGCAGCACTTGAATGTAATGCTCATCGGCGCAGCAGAAGCGGCTGCCAGTCTTCATGCGGAACTGCACACACACATGTGTGGGAGCAGGGGGCGGGTGAGCTCGTTGAGTTGACTCACGCAGCACTCATGCTACCCGCACTCTAACATTATCCACCTCTCATGAAAATAGAAAGCCGCTCAACCACCCATCACCTTCCCCAACCCACTCGAACAAAGTTTCCTAAATCACCTGACACGGCATTCACCAGGCACAGCATTCACCAGGCACAGCAATCACCAGGCACAGCAATCACCAGGCACAGCATTCACCAGGCACAGCATTCACTGGCAATGATGCGCACCTGGCAGCTCTTCTGGTGTGTGAGGTAGTGGGCGGTGTCCCTCGTGATCATCTGCACGTGCCTCCTCCGCAGCACAAACCACTGCCACGGCACATGCACCACAGCACGGCACATGCACCACAGCACGGCACACACATCACGTGAGCACTGTGTCGGGCAATGGAGAATGCGCACCAGCAGCAGAGTGCGAGGCAGAGGTGTGCCCACACTTGTGCAGTGCAAGGCATGCAGCAGAGGGTCACCTGCGTGCAGCTATCGCCCCACCGCCCCGTGCCCCATCTGGCTGCCCCGTGCCCCATCTGGCTGCCCCGTGCCCCATCTGGCTGCCCCGTGCCCCATCTGGCTGCCCCATCTGGCTGCCCCGTGCCCCATCTGGCTGCCCCGTGCCGTGCCCCATCTGGCTGCCCCGTGCCCCATCTGGCTGCCCCGTGCCCCATCTGGCTGCCCCGCGCCCCACCTGGCTGCCGCCCACGTAGTCGTCCTTGCGGATGAGCGGGCTGAAGATGTGCCTCTCGTAGCGCCGAAACCCCATGCGGTACTTGTCGTGGTGCCTGCACCGCCAGGGGATAACACAAATATACGATGTTTAATATTCAGAAGCACCATATCTGACTCCCGAAAGCATCTTGAGGACAGGCAAGTGGGAGAAAGTGCCATGCCAAAGATTACGCAGCTATATGAGGAACAAGAAGAGTCGACCAGGAGGAGGCAGAGGGGCGCACTCACGCATCGAGAAGGCTGACGTTGGCAGAGGCAACGTAGCTGTAGATGAAGGTGAAGGGCCACAGGGGGATGCACCTGCCGTGGCACGGCAAGGGGGGAAAGGGGGGGTGGAGAGATGAGTGCAGGCACGACTCTAGATCTGATTGAACCCAAGTGCTGCTCGAATCTGACTACTCCGCATCTAATCCCCTCTGCTCTTCCTTGCTGCCTCTGTGACGAGTGCGGGAATTGTTGTGTGGGAGAGGGGCGGAGGGGGCTCACGAGTCGGAGAGGAGCGCGAAGAAGGCGTTGAGGGGGTCGAAGAAGGCGGCTGCGAGCAGCTTCCTCTCCGCCGCCACCATTGAGAAGTCGCCCCATGCCACCTGGCCGCACCCAGGGGACACATGAGGGGAACACGGACGGGATGGAAGGGGGGGGAAAGAGCAAGACTTGCTGTGCATCACTGCTTGCCGTTCGAGTGGAACAACACATGTGATGCAATTGATGCCATGCAACGGATGCCACACCATGCACGAACGCCACTATGCGAGTGCAGGTAAAAATAAGAGGTTTGGAGCAATCAATCATGCCCTGCCTGTCCCCATGTGCCACACCTAGCCCCACCGCACTCCACGCCCCACCGCTCTCCACGCCTAGACCCACCGCGCTACACATGAGGGCTCACCTTGCCGCCTGGGATGAGCGCATGTCGGAAGGTGGGGGAGAAGTCAGGCGGGAAGGCGAAGCCGGGCGTGGACGCGTGCACGTACACGGAGTACCGCCCCTCGTGGCCCTGCTGGGGGCAGACGCGCGGGGCAGAGAGAGTGAGACACTGAGTGGTGTGCGGCCGTGTTCAGAGAGCGAGCAAGCTCCATTATCCGACGCCTGTGAATCGCGTAATTCGCACCGATGCGCACCTAACAGCGCGGTATGCACGCGTGAGGTAGCGTGAGGGAGCGAGGGAACGGCGAGGCGCACCTGGAAGAATCGGTCCCACAGCGGCGCGAGGGGGACCGGGCCACGCGTGAGGAAGAGGAAGGCGATCTTCTCCGTCGCACTCGGCTTCACCGTCGGGAACGTCTGATCGCTACCTCCGGCGGAAGCTTCCGACGTGGATTCCTGATCGCTGAGGTCACCTGGATGAACGGAATCGTCTGAAACGGTGGCGAAGTAATGATTGGTGTAACAAAACGTGGTAACCACAAGTAGGACCAAAACACCGACGGAAGAAGCGATCCTCGTGGAGCGCGCGAATCTGGAAGCCTTCCCTTCCAAGGGACCAGTCGGTGGGCCCTTGGCGGCAGCGCGTCTCAGCATTGTGGGAATGGTAGCGCACGGCGACTATGGAGTAGGGAAATGTCAGGAAAGCATCGTGTCAACGCGGAAGGTACCGTGGCGTCGCTACGGCCTTGGCCGAGACTCGAACACCAACCAGCTGACGGACACGACACTCACGACCTTTTGACATCAGATAACGCTGTGAGGCCAAATCTAGGTAAATCAGTCCCGAAAGGATGTGCTTTGCATTTGGGGGAAAGATGCGAATGTGGTGGAGGGAAGGGATCGGTTCGCGCACATGTAGCGCGGATATCACACCAGGGATTACCGTACGTAATCAATGAATCAAATAAGTTGAGCCGGTAGAAGTTATCAATGGGTGCTACGGTATATGCCACATCCCTATTCTGTGCCACATCCCTATTCTGTGCCAGCTCTCCTAGATCACTTGGTGCAAATCCTCCTCCACTTCACTTGTCACTTCAAATTCCGCATCTTCCTCCCTCCACGTCCTCTCCATCTCCACCACTCTCTCCACATCAAATCCCTCGGGCACATTCACCAACCAATCACTCACATGGCTCACCACACGCTCCATCACATCGTTCCTCACACCGTCTCTGCTCGTAAGACCGTCATCATATCCCATCCCATCCATTCCCCACACCTTATCCTTTCCCTCACGTTTGAATCCATCAACTTGCACCTTTCGTTCGACACCGCTATCAGATGAGGCAAGGGAGGAGGCGATCCTGATGCTGAGGCCAGCTATGGAGTAGACGCGCCCGTCCCACTTGCCCTCGTTGCGCACATGCCACGTCTTGAAGCGCAGGTCCAGCTCAGCCCCCTGTACAAGCACCACCACGAGGCCGCAGTGCCGCAGGCCCAGCTCGTCACTCTCAGCCCACTCCCCGCCATCCATCTCCAGCCACCACTCCTCAGCCGCCTCCTCATCATCCACACACCCATCCCTCCACATGTAAGCCCCCTCCTCACTCCGTTCCTTCAACTGCTCGCCCATGCACGTATGTGCTTCATGGTGCTTCAACATGCCGCTGTGCTCCCCATCGGTCACCTCCCCCACTGGCAGCAGCGCCCCTGCCTCGCCCACGCGCACGAGGTCAGGCATGTCACACAGCAGTGCCACCAGCCGGGCCTTCATGGACCACCTGGGGAAGGCACGGCTGCTGTACCCGTGCCTGGCGAGCAGGCTCGGCAGGGAATGCCCTGTGTGCTCCTCTAGCCTGCCTGCTAGCTCCTCCAGCCACATCCACCTGCTGCTGCTGCTGCTGCTGCTGCTGCTGCCGCGTCTAGAGCTGTTGTTTTGAAGGGGTTCAGTGAGAGCAGGGGGGGCATCCCAGTCAGCACCGTGTGTGAGGACCACCCCCATCACCACACGGCGCAGCCCTGACTGCACGAGACTCACCAGCTGCAACGCCCTCTCGCTCACAACCACTGCCAGCCTCTGTTCGCGCTGCTCACCGGCGCTACCACCCTCACCAGAACCACGTGTGGCCACAACACCAACCCCATTGCCTCCTTTGCTGGTCGCACCTCCCTCCCCTCCCACCGCTCTACCTCCCTCGATGTATGTGTACTCGTTATAATCACGCACCACCGTGGCAATCGGCCCAACCAATGCATCCACATCAACCCGAGCAGGGTCGGGCCGCCACCACCCGCGCTGCACAAACTCCCGAGCCATGCCGCCCAGTGGGAGCGGGCCGCGGGCGGCGAGGAGAGTGAGGGTGCGGAGGGAGAAGCGGAGGAGGGCGAGCTCGAGGGGCGAGCGCACGGCCGACGCGGAGGCAAAGATAGCAGGCCACAGCGGGTCGTGGGATGCTGTGGTGTGGGCAGCACTTGGGGAGTCTTGGGCATGGCAGTGTGGCTTGTGCAGGGCAGTGGGCTGTGCGTGGTGCTGCAACAGCTGACCCACGTCTCCCTGGGCGTGCTCAGAGGCAGCAGGCGGGTGGGGTGGGTGGCGAGGAAGGCGAGCAGGGCGCGGGGCGGAGTGCACGGGTGTGGGGATACCGTCAGCTCGCAGCCCACCATTGCTGCTGCCCTGCTGCTCATTGTCATTCCCTCCGACCACGGCAAGTGCAGACACAGCAGCGGTAGGAGCGGCGGTGGCAGGAGCATCATCAGCAGCAGCAGCGGTAGGAGTAGTGAGAGCAGGAGCAGGAGTAAGAGAAAATGCAGGAGTGGGAAGGGGTGCTTCCACAGAAACATCATCAGCTTTGCTCGCAGCAGCTGTCTCAGCCTGTGCACCATCATGGGGCACAGCACCTGAAGGGGCACCTGAAAGGGCAGCTGAAGGGGCAGCTGAAGGGGCAGGTGCAGGTGCAGGGGCAGGTGCAGCATCCCCAGACGCAATGAAAGGCGGGTGAGAGAGCGCATGCACGGTACCATTTATACGAGCATCTCCATCCACCTCCCCCTCGCTCTCATGGCTGTCATATGCCGCGTAGAATGCATACTCCTCTTCCTCCTCGCCCTCCTCGCCCTCCTCGCCCTGCCACTCCTCCCACCCTGCCACCACACGGTATCCCTCCACATCGCCACCGCCTGCTGCACCTGCTCTGCACTCGCCAGGCGAGGACGAGGCTCCATGTGCCTGCACCCCCACTACGCCCGCGCTGCTGCCCTGCCCTTGCCCACTCTCGCCATCCGCCTTCTCGCCCCATTCACTGTGCGTGCTGCCACGCCCACCCACCACGCCACCATCCTCCCTCATGCGCCTCTCACCTGCCACTTGCACCCCGCCCTCCCCCCCCTCCCTGCCCTCCCTGCCCCCCATGGCCCCCCCGCCCTCCCTGCCCTGCCATGAGCGCTCTTCTTCCTCTTCCTCGTACATATCCCCTGTTGCCAGAAACCCATACTCGTCCTCCTCATATTCCTCCTCTTCCTCCTCCTCATCTTCCTCCTCCTCTTCCTCCTCTTCTTCATCCTCTGCCTCCTCCTCTTCCTCCTCCTCGTCACCCTCCTCCTCCTCCTCATCATCTTCCCACCACTCATCTTCTTCCTCCTCTTCCTCATCTTCCTCCTCTTCCTCCCCTTCCTCTCCATCACTCCCCTCCTCACTCCAATCACCCAACATGCCCCGCTCGCCTCCTCTCCTCACAGCCTCCCTTACCACCCACCTCCCAATATCCGCTTCCTCCTCCTCCTCTTCCTCATCGTCCTCGTCCTCGTCCTCCTCGTCGTCATCCCGCTCCCCCTCATCCCAGCCGCCACCCCCCTGCCCACGGCTGTCCTGCCACGAGTACACGCGCCCATCCCACAGCCCCTCGTTCCGCTCAGCCCACTGGGCCACAACAGGGTCGGCCTCAGCGCCCGCCACCAGCCCCACCAGCACCACGCCCCCCGCGCCCCGCAGCTTCTTGAGGCGCACCAGGTCGGGCATGTCTGCCAGCAGTGCCACCAGCCGGGCCTTCTGGGACACGTTGCAGAAGGCGTCTCGCCCGTACCCATGCCGGGTCAGCAGCGCACCGAGCCTCTCCTGGCATACACGCCGCACTGCCACGCCCACCTCCTCCACGGGCATCCACCGGCTCGCCCTCCTGTCACGCGCTCCAATCCCCGTGCCGCCGCTCTTGATAATACTCCCACTGCCATTAGTACCGCTCCTGCCGCTCCCATCCTTGCCATTAGTGCTGCCTTCACTCGACGCCCCGCGGTCCCCAGGGACCTGCTCGCCCATGCCACCCCGCTCTGCGACCCCCCCATTTCTTCCCGCCACCGCACCAGCACTGCCCCGTGCAGTGCGAGCAGCAGCATAGGCGGCATCCGCGCGGGCCACGTGCGCCTGCAGCACGGCCACCACCACGCACCGCAGCCGTGACTGCACCAGCGCCAGCGCGCGCAGGTTGCCGTGCGAGCGCACAAGGGAGAATGTCCGGCGGCGTGCCATGGCCTCGCGCGCCTCAACGCTCATCTTCTTGCGCGCTGCCTGCCCCGGCCACCCCTCGCTCACGGCCATGACGTGCGGCAGCAGCGCGACGAGCGCCTTGACGTCGCGCAGCCCGTAGTCCGCCAGGCGCAGCTGCCGCCCCCACACGCGCTGGTAAGCCACGAACAGCAATGACGTCGTCACCGCGCCGTGGGCCGCCAGCGTGGTGAGCATGTGGGCGCGCAGGCGCGCTGTCAGCACGTCCGCAGGGGAGCGCACGGACAGGGCGCGCGCCATCACCTCCGCCCACGACTCCCGCCGCGGGGCCCCCCCTGCCTCCGCATGGGACGGCGCTGCCTCACCTGCCTTGAGCTCCGGCGGCGGTGGAGGTTGGGCGTTGCTTGCAGGGGTCATGTCTTTTTCACCCGCGTCACCTGCTGCTTCACCCGCCCCATCACACGCGCCACTACTGCTGGTCGTGCTGTCCCCCCCGCCACTCGCCGCGCCCCTCTCCACGTGCAGCAGTCGCTCCTCCAGCGATCGCAGCCGCTGCTGCACCTCCTCCTCGCCCTCCCTCCCACTCCCTATCGTCTCTGTCCCCTCCCTGCCTGACGTCCCACCAGCACCGGTGCTGCTGCTGCTGCTGCCACTGCTAAGGGCACTGCCATTGGCGCTGCTGTTGCCGTTGCCGTGGCCGCTGAGGCTGCCGTTGTCCGAGGTGGAGACCCCAGCACTACGTGTGCTGCCGCTGCTGTCCATGCCACTGCGGATGGCACTAAACGACTCTACTGCACTGCTGCCACTGCCCTTCACACCACCAGCGCCGCTGCTGCTACCAAAGATGCTGCTACCGCGTGCAACAGCAGCAGCAACACCCCCATTCCCCGCATCAGCAACACCACCATCATCGCCTGCTCTGCTGCCGCCCCTCCACCCGCTCTCCCCCCCTGCACCGCTCTCTCCCGCGAGAATGAGCTGGTCCCAGTCAAGAGTGACGGCCGCTGACTGCGCCAGGGGCGCGGGGATGGTGCCGCGCTTGCCCTTGCTGCCGTTCTTGCGCGGGCGCGCGAGCAGCACGGTGGTGACGGCGCGGTTGGTGAGCTTCGCCAGCACGCCCGCGAACCCCACGTCGCCCGACACCACCACCACGCACGGCGGGACGGCTCTGCGGGGCGGCAGGCGCGGGAGGGAGGTGTACGAATGCAAGAGAACGGGCAGGAAGGAAGGGCGAGGAGAGGGATGCAGGCGTGAATAAAGGGAGAGAGGATTGTTCAATGCGCTGCACCGTGCTGCACTCATCTCTACCCACTTCCTCCGCTCATCCGTCGCTACCTCCCCCTCGTCATCCGCCTCGCCTCACCGGTTGACCTCGCGCTCGTCGAGAGCGAAGAGCAGCGCGTCGGTGATGATGGCCTTGTCCGCCATCTCCTTGCCCGCCGCCACCGCCACCACCTCCACGCCGCACGCGCCCATCTTTCCCACCATGCGCGCATGCACCTCCTCCGGCTTCCCGTACGCGCGCACGCTCCGCACCACGCCGAACGTGCGCGCCACGTCGCGCAGGCGCCGCACGAGCGCAGCGCAGTCGGCGCCGACAGGCACGGGGCAGTTCTCGTAGTCCCAGAACACGCCCACGCCGGGCGGGCATGTCGCTAACCCCGATTGTGTTTGAAACGAATGTGACGGTAACGGGGGGGTGTGAGGGTAAGGTGTTGTAGTGGGGAACGGAGGCGGGTAGGAGAGAGGAGGTGGGAAGGAAGGTTGTTGGTGGCGGTAGGGGGGTTGCTGGTAAGGCGGATATGAAGACCCGCCGTTTTGAGAGAAAGAGGCGGATGCTCTGGAGGAGGATGAGTGTGGGTTGTGGGGAACGCAGGAGGCGGACTCAAAGAGCAGGCGTGGTTGCAGCGACGGGTGGGTGGGGGAGGGAAGGAGTGTGGAGGAGAAGAGGGTTTTGTGGGGGGAGAGGAAAGCCTGGCGACATGTGAGTAGCTCGCGGTACATGCGGTCAGTGAGGCGCGCCGACGGCTGTAGACTCAGCCTGAGACTGTGATGGGTTGAGAGCGGTGCAGCAGCCAGGGTGGTTGGGTAGTGGAGCCGGGTGGAGGTCACCAGAGCTGATCGGCTTGAAGAATGGCTGCTTCTGGCCGTGACTAACACTGAGGGAGATGAATCTGAGAATTCCGTTATATACATTACCTGCTTATTGGTGTTACGGATTCCCAAGCATAAGGAATCCGCATTCTTCCGAGGTCGAGGTCCTGAAGAAACAGTGTCGTGGTTACGGCGGCATGATCGATTCACTACCCGCGCTGGTGGAGGTCGAAGGCTTGCGTGAGTGAAAGAAGTTGCGTTCGCCATCATGACCGGCGAACGCGCTGTGAAAGCGGCTGTCGAAAAGGTGATGTCTGTAACCAACATGCATCAGAAAGGCTTCGCACGGGCTGATTTCGCGAGATTTCAACGCTTATCTCGAATTGATTGGCTGGTTCCTGGCCAATCGTCCTCTGGCCATCGATTGCGTCGACTATCCTATGCTGGAACTACTAGTAAGACCGGATTCAGGTGGAAGTACAAAGAATGTCACGCCGATAGCTACTCTACCACGGCTGATGTATTGCTGATGAGACAGATGAAATGCTGAGAAAAGCTGCAATGCAGGAAAAATGGTCTGGTCTGGTGATCATGTGGCGTTGGTTGAGAGATATTTGGTGCAGGTGTTTGCATTGCACGCGCTGCAACCAGCACAGCGCCCACCCCGCGCGCTGACATGTCAGCTGCTCTGCACTTTTTCTGGGGAAAAGATGTGCTTTCGCGAGGAAATCCTGCGACGAAGATGTGTAACCAGAGATTGCGAATTGAGTTATTTTCGGCCCAAACTGAGTTTCAGCGCAGCTTGGTTGAGAGAATTACTGTAGAGCCTGGATCGGTGATTCAGCCTTACTCGCGTGGCCTTGAATTACTCGAGTGGCCACCAAATTTGGTGATAATTACTCGAGTGGCCACGCCAGGGGATTCCCGCTGGTTTTTCTTTTACCCGGCGCATTACCCTACAAGGGTCTGTATCCCTGAAACATCTATTACAAATTATCGCGTAAACTGAAAATCGCGCAATTATCAATACAGATGTTTCGGGGATACGAACCCTTGTAGGGTGATGCGCCGGGAAAAACAGCCAGCGGGAATCCTCTGGCGTGGCCACTCGAGTAATTATCACCAAATTTGGTGGCCACTCGAGTAATTCAAGGCCACGCGAGTAAAAATGAATCACTGAACCAGGTTGTACAGTAATTCTCTCAGCTTGGTTCGTTTTTCTGAGGCACCTCGAGAATCTCCAGCCACAGATGTGCTGCCACATGGATCTGGGTTACACCATGTCCCTGGCGCCTGTTCTCCGCCACCTCCCGTCCGTGCATGCACTGTCAGACACTAGACCAGAGCGATTAGGGTGAATGTATAAGCCTCCAGTCCAGAGTGCATAATCGAGTTCATCAGTGAATGGAGCTGACTGATCAAAGACGACTTAGACTGGGGCAGTCGTGTTAGATTTGAGCCTGATCCTTACATAGTCTGCAGCAAAATGGCGGCGACGAGGTGTCTCGTCGAGAGCACTAGTTTGATAGATCATCATGTGCCCGTTGATATGCAATCGGGGCGTTCAGGGATGGCTGCAGCTGCTCCTCCCTCCATATTTATCCATAAGTTCCGCAAGGCCCCCGTTCCAGTGAGAAATGTGACCGTTAGCACCCGTTGCGTCGGCATTTCGTGCACGGCATTGAGATCACCCCGCAATACTCACAGGCGATTTCATAATGACGGCCGTCGTTGCGGTCATGCTCGACCTAATACGCGAACAGCCGTGTATGATCCTTCGAAAGATCTCAGCTTTAGCCTTCAAGACGAATTGAACGGTAAGCTATGTGATCCGTCCCGTTGTTTCATTTTGTTCGTCTAGGTTTTATCGCTTTCCCAGTGGCTTCCACCTTCCTCTTAACCTTCCTCGTTTCCTCATCGCCTCTCAGATCCCGAGTCCAACATCACGCCACCCCCACCCCCAACGGAGGGTCGGTTCGAGATTCACGTGACCAAGGAAATGATTCGCAGCCTTGATCTCACCGTCGCACACCAGGTCCTGCGACCGTTCGTCGCAGAAATAGGCGACAACACGGCCCCTCCCCTCTCCGACCCATCGCCTCTCCTCACTCGCCGGCTGGGCTTCACCATAAAATACGAAAGAGACGACCCCATTGACCCTCGGGAACTGTCCGAGCTGCCAGATGTCCGCCTGTGGTTTGTCCGCCTGGATGCCGCCTACCCGTGGTTGCCAGCGGTGCTGGACTGGCGAGCGGGAGAGCTGGGGCGGTATGCTGCAATGTTGGTGCCGCATCAGGTGAGAATCATGCCACACCCCACCAGAGCCAAATCTGGCACTGATGCTTGTTGAAGTCCTTGGGCCATAGGATGCTAACATGTCCTTTCCCCATGCTCTCGTCCCTGACTCTCCTACCACATCTTTCTACTCTCCCTCCTCTCCCAACTTGCCTGTCTCCACCAGATGAGCAAGCGCATGGGTCTGGTGTTCAATCCAGAGGCAGTGGAGCTATGGACCATGAACAAAGCCTTCATCATCCATGCATGGCTGGTTGCCAGAGGGGATCCCCGGCCTGACGTCAGGGTCAAGGACATGGCCAAGTGTCTTGGTTTCTCCCTCTCAGATTCCCTGTTCAGCCTGCTAAATAATAGCCCTAAAGTGTAAGCCTGGTACCAACTTATTATCTGGCACATTCTGTTTTTGGGGCCCTACTCCATTCTATTCAAATGTGGGGCAGAACAATCAAAAGACTGAATGCCACAGACTTGACCGCACTATGTAGAAGCATGAGGCACTAGTCGAGTTTATGCGCCTGATGGGAAGCACCCTATCAGGGTTAGTTCTGGCAAGAAACATCACACAGCTCCTAATCTTGATGTGAATGCTTTTGGTCTCTGAGCAACCCAAGCAAATGAAATGGGTACAGTGCTCCAGCAGCAACACCATACAGTGCAGAAGTGATGGCCTCCTGTGGACCCAAAACCACTCCATGCATGAAGCCAATCAACCCACTCCCAAGGCCGAGAGGCACAGCCATCAGGAGGGCGAGAATGGCAGGAAGGAAGACAGAAGGACTGCTCAAATTCCGCACGTTGAAAAGCGACCTGTGGCTCGCTCGCTGATTTCTCTGGCCTGCGTTGACCTTTTCTTTCTGCTTCTCCAGCTGTTCCCCCTTTATCCCCTCTTGGGGTTTTTGCTGCTGCCCCTTCTCTTCTCCCATTTCTCCCTTGCCCGACTTCTTGTCAACCCCTTCTCCCTCCCCTGCACTCTCCTGCTGCTCTTTCTCCTCTTGCTCTTCCTCTGGGTGCTCTGGCAAGCTCGGGAGCCTCTTGCTTTGTGTTGCCTCCTCATTGGCTGCTCGCAGACCAGCCACTGGCGAGTGGTTTCTCCAGTCAGGACCGAATGCTGCAGCCATGTGGTTGTGGTACCACTGGGTGCTGGCGTGATTGGGGAAAAGTAGTAAAGGAGAGGTAGAGGGTTAAGAAGGACTTAAAGCAAAGGAGTGCCTGTATGGCTTGTACCTGCATTTCTTGTCATAAGTTCAGCACTTCCGAAATGCTATTTAAAACATGTCAGAGCTTGCATTTCAAGAAAACAGTTAATCCTTCCATGTATTATTCACATAATGCCAGTGCCTCTGTAACACTCACATTAGCACCTGGGTTAGAGGTAAAGAATGAAGTTCATACCCGTGTCACCACTAAGAAGCCATGTCAGTACCAGAGTTTGTGTGTCAATTACGTCAGTGTAGATGTGTTCAGAGTGAACGGAACATACCTATCAATACCCGCTTTCATAGCACAGGTGATTTTAAGGCCAAGGCGAATAGATATGTCAGTCAATCCATGTTTTTGTAAGAAAATGCGTCACTGCCTAAAAAGGTGATCACAACTCATGTGAATAGATGCGATTCTGATAATCTATTACATGAATGCCTGCATTTGCGGTACGGAGGTACTTACTTACACTCTTGGAAGGGGCAAAGTCAAAGACCTGTTTGATTTGCACAAATCGGACCTGTGTAGATCGTGTAACACGCCATCAGGACTTGTGCTACTGCTATGCGGTTTTTTTCAGAACTTGCATGCGTACTGAAGTTTATGGTGAGGAACCATGCCATAACCTGATCTATGGTAGCGCAATATGTCGACACCTGTGTTAGCAGTAAGATCAACTTGCTGATAGTTGCGTACATAATAACTAAGTCACTGCCAGCGTTTGTGTTAAAAATTGATACATAAGGTTGCCCATCATCAATCATTCCTGCATTCGGTATGAGATCATGTCAGAATCTGCGTCAGTGGGTAAGTTTGTGTCCATACCTGCGTTTGTGGTACGAGATCATCGCCACTATTGGAACGGCGTAGGCAAGGAAAGCGAACATGACCTCCACCTCCGACATGACCGCTACGGAGCCACGAGGCAGATCCTCAGAAGCCATGGTCGCGCCAACGGCTATAGGCTCAGAGAGTGAAAACGGAGCAGCTGGTACAGTCAGAGAACAAGGGAATGGAAGATTCCTAACCCGACTAACCAGGTAGATCCGAGACGGACGTCGGAACTATGGCCTGCCACAATATTCCGATTTTCATGGAAAACGGAATGTCATAAGAAGACTGGAATTCGACTCGAGGAGAAGGCGTAAATGCGACTTCGAGGTGCGAAGGCAGAGGAAAGAAATCGACGGAAGCAGAAGCTAAGCACCGAGGAGCTCACGGATGAACGAAGGTGGTGGATTGTGAAGCTTGTGGTGTTGAGACAAGTCAACTTCCTGCTCGTTGTGGGAGCTTCATTCGCTTTATTGCCTCAATCTGTTACCAGACCGGAAGCAAGGCACACTGTAGGTGCAAGAAACATTTCACAATCCGACTATTATACATATCGCTCTAGCATGTATGCACTCTTGTTTCAACAGAAAAACACAAACATCTTGTAGATATCGATAATGGCTGGAGCAGTCCCCACGTATATATTAAGTAGCAGCAGTTGGAGCAGCCGCCGCTGTAGGAGCAGCCGAGACTGCAAAGCTACGTGGGTTGATAGTGATGCTCTTGGTGCAGTTGTGTGTCTTGTATATCCCAACGAGATGGTCCGCCAGCTCAAACATGTTGTTGCGCAGGCTGTGCAACAGGGAACAGACACGTCAAATAGTATTGAGAAAGATAGTGATACCATGAAAACAAAACTAAGCAATAGGAAAGTCCTTCATAAATGCAGAGGCTTATGGTAGGAAGGAACCCATAGAGGAGCGCAAGGGGGTACAATGTGTGCATCTTACCTGATGATGACGAACTGGGCGTTCTTAGTGCGCTCCTTGATGTAATGCGCCACTATGGACACGTTTTTGAAGTCTGCAGAGCACAGACAAAGAGTCACACACAGAGCAGCACAGGGACATGCTCTCATGCCCAACCATGAAGGTGCATTGCAAGAAGCATCACAGGAAGCAGTATCGCATTGTCGGGGTTCACCATGCTCTTTGCCCTTTCCCATTTTCTTGTGCTATGTGCTTCCAAGTATTCCCCCGTTCTCTCACTGCACACCCAAGCCAGCACTCACGGCTCGTGTGGGACTCACCGAGAGCGGCGTCGATCTCATCCATGACGTAGAGGGGCGTGGGCTTGTAGTGGTGCAGCGCGAACACCAGCGCCAGCGAGCTCAGTGTCTGCAGCAGCGGGACCAACACAGCAGGACGGCGAGGGGTTGGGCAGTTTAATAAGTCGCTAATGCCATGGCACTGCAGCACTGTAAAGCAGAAGTGCATCAGCACAGGACGATGCCTGATGCCTTGCCAGAAGCATTAACACCCCGTAACAGGGAAGCAGGCAGCGGCTCACCTTCTCCCCACCCGAGAGGTTGCAGATGTTCTTCCAGCTCTTCTTGGGCGGGCGCACGGAGAACACAATGCCCTCGCTGAACGGGTCCAGTGAGTCCACCAGCTCCAGCTCAGCATCGCCGCCCAGCGTGATCATCTGGTACATCTCCTTGAGCCGCATCGTGATCGTGTCAAACCCCGCCATGAACTCGTCCAGCCGCCGCCGCTTCACCTCCTCCTGTGCCACCCGCACGCTGTCGCGCTCCGCTGTCACCGCCTCCAGCTCGCCCAGCCTCTGTGAATACACCGCCTCCTTCTTGCGGTACCTGCACACGCACCCATGGCGATGGTTCAGGGTAGATGGAGGTTGTCGAATTTAGATAGGCGGTCGTTGACAGTCACCTGTTTTGCTAACAAGGAAATGATGAAAGCACACAGATGTGCGTAGTGTCAAACTATAAGTGTTATAGTTTGTTATTTTAGTCTAGGGTACGTGTTTATAGTTTAACACCTAGCCACACTGAAGCTCCCAGTACTGCTCACACTCACTCTTTGCTGCTCAGATACACGCTCCTGTAGCTCACATACTTTCATAGAGCAGAGGGACCGACTGGCAGCAGGCAGCGCACTCACTCTGCGATGGAGCTCAGGTTGAGGTTCCCCTTGAGTGCCTCCAGCTCTGCTCGCAGCCGCTGCTCCCCTGCTGCTGCCTCCTCCCGACTCGTAACCACACGCACAAGGTTACCACACAAGCGGGCCTGCAGCTTCTCCAGCTCACCATCCCCCCCATCTGCCACCCCCACCTCACCCACACCTCCCTCCCTGTGCTCTGCAGCTTCATCGCCCTCCATCTCCTCATCCTCCCCTTGGCTTCCTCTTTCTGCTGTGCCTGCTGCTGCCGGTCGTGCCCTGCCCTGCCTCTCCCCTTCCTCCTCCCGCAGGTCCCACGGCAGCCCAGCAGCCTCCGCGTCCTCCTCTGCAATGCCCTCCGCTTGCATCCTGGAGGGGGGACGGACGGATGGCGGGCAGAGGAGGGAGATGAGGGCCTCGTACACAAGGGGCTTTGGGATCGTGTGAAGGCTCACTAGTGTGTGCTGTGAGGGCAACTGCAGCATGCAGCGGTGTGATGGACTCACTGTGCGATGTGCTGCCTCAGCTGCGCGCCCAGCGCCCTCAGCTTCTCCCTCTGCAGGCGAGCCGTCTCCTGACTCGTCCTCAGCGCCTTCCTCGCATCTTCCAGCTTCAATTCCACATCCACCTGAGGGCACGAGAAGTGATGTCAGTGGACGTGGAGAAGAAGAGATCCTAGAAAAAGGTAATGCTCGATATGTGTACTCCCCTCGAACTCGACCCGTCCCACCACCTGTCTTTCATCTCACCTCCCCGGTGCGCATCTTGTCGAGCTGTGCCTTGATGGCCAGGAACTCCTTCTTCATGCCGCCATACTCCTCCTTCTTGCCCTCCACCAACTGCAACCACCACACGCCATGTCATGTCAGCACAGGGAAACGAGGAAAGGGTGGAAACAGATTAATCAGAGAGGGGAAGAGAGAGGGAAGAGCGGGCGTGAGGGGATGAAGGACTTTGTAACAGAACTCTGATCGCATCCTGCAAGTGGGCATTCACACCACTCCCCCCCGCGCACCTGGCGGAGGCGCTCGTAGTTGTCGTTGACAGCAAAGGCCTCCTGCATGACGGCGTTCATCTCCTCCTTCTTCCGTGTCATCTCCTCCTCCGCCTTCGCCCTCTCCTCCTCCGCCTCCCCCACCGCCTTCCTCAGCTTCTCCAGGGTGCGGTTGCTCGAGGCCACCGTCACACGGCTCTGGTTGATGCCCGTCTGCGCCTCGTCTATGGCCTGTAACGAGGCACATTGCAGAGGAATAGCGAGTGGACAGGAATTATCTGTGTGCACTGAGGCTAAGCACAACTGAGGGATGTATAGAATGGGTGATCCGCGCTTGCAATCAAGCCCTGGCACGCGTGGACTACTTCCCCTCGTTGTTGCGAGTCCTTCACTCCCAGCTGCTCATTCCCTTTCCACACCCAGCACTCAATACAAGCTGTTCGAACCTAAATCCACATGTCTCCACGCCCTACGCCGCACCTTCTGGATGGCGGCCACGTGGTCCTTCTGCTCGCCCAGCGCCTCCCTGCCGGCATCAGTGATGGCCTGCTGCACGCGCGCCACCGCCGCCACTAGCGGCGCCATTTCCTCCTGAATGCGCGCCTCGTCGCTCTCCTCGCCCGCCAGCTGCTGCTGCAACACGCCCATCTGCCTCTCCTCCTCCGCGCTCGTCACGGCCGCCGCCTGCAGCCCCTGCACGCGCTGCTGCAGCTCGCCCACCTGCGCTGCCAGGGACTCGATCTGCCCGGGACGGGAGAGAGAAAGAGGGAGAGAGTTAGATGCGTGAGACGCGTGAGCTGTGAGGGGTGCAACGTCCAAGAGCATTAAAGGGAGACGGGGTCTAACACAAGCGGTTACCTCCATCTGGACCTTGGGAATGTCCATTCCCAGCCGCCTCAACACCCTCTCCGCCTCCTCTCTCCTAGCCACAGCCGCGCGCCTCTCCTCCCGCGCTCGCTCCAGCCGCGCCACCACGTGCGCCACCTCTCTCTCCGCCTCCTCCACCATCTCCCTCGTCACTCCCCCGCTTGCCGCTGCCGCCGCCGCCTTGAGCGAGCTGCCCATGCGGCCGCCGCGGGGGCGCCCCCCCCCGCCTGCCATGGTGCCGCTGGACTCGAACATCTCCCCCGCCAGCGTCACCACCCGCCTGAACCGCGCGTCCGCGCCGTACGCGATGCGCGAGGCCTGGTCCAGGGAGGCGGCGACGAGCGTGTTGCGCAGGGCGAACCAGAAGGCGGGCAGCAGGCGCGCGTCCTGCACTTGCACCAGGTCGAACAGCCGCGGCACGCCCTCCGGCGTGCTCACCTTCTCTGACATGTCCCGCACCAGGTGCTGCTGCTTGTCCTGGCGCTCGGCGGAGAAGGGGGGGAGGGGGGTGGGGGGGGAATCATGGAGAAGAATGCAGGATGGAAAATAAGTGAGAAACGACTGTGCGGAAGTGGGATGGAGGGCGAGCAGAAATGTTGCAGTGGCATAAAACAAAGGAGAGAGCTCAGAAAGTGGGGCAAGTGCAAAGCTCATAGGACGGGAAGGGAACAAGCAAGGAAGCAGCAAGGCGCAAAGGAGTGTACCAGGGCGAGGAAGGTCTGCACGCCCAGCTGCCGCTCCCTCAGCAGCGCCGTGCACGCCTGTGCGGTCTCGATGTTGTCCACCACTATGTACTCCAGTGCACCGCACGCCGTTGATATCGCCACGTCGTACTTGCCTGCAGGGGGGCAGGCCATGCCACACGTGAACGTGAAGGAAGGTGGGAGGTGTTGAGAGACCAGCTCAGCTCTGCACGCAACAACCTACTCCAGCATGACAAATGCTCTTGATGTCACTGCATCGTACCTTCACTCTCCCACTTCTCCCCCCTGCAAGCGCCTCACCATCGATGGCGCCCAGGTCGCCCAGGCGGCCGAAGATCCCGGGAATGCTGCCGTCCCGCTTCGCATGCAGCAGCGCCGTCAGGATGGCGCTGCTGCTGCGATGCGCAGCGGCCGCCTCCTTCATCTCCGCCGCGCGTCCCTGCGCCGCCTCCGCCTCTGCGCGCGCCGCTGCCTCCTCCTCCGCCTTCGTCTCTTCCTCCTTGGCGCTAGCAGCCGCCACCGCCTCGCTCTCCCTCACAGCCGCCTCCATGCGCTTCAGCTGCTCCTGCTTCTGCTTCCGCCCCTCCTCGCGCTCCTCTATCGCCTTCCGCACCGCCTCCAGCTGCTTCTCGGCGGCCGCGTGCTTGTCTCGGATGAGGCTCAGCTTGGTGCGGGTGACGTCAGCCTTGGCCTTGGCGGCGCTCGCCTTCTCCTCCCACGGCGCCAGCTGCTCCTGCAGCGGGCCCAGCTGCTGCTGCTGCCGCTCCACCTCCACTGCCACACACATCACCAAAACAAGTTCAGACAGGTGGCTGTTAGTCACAGGGGCTGCAGGGGGAAGGGAGAGGAGGAAGGTTGAACGCGGGTCATAGCACGCACCTCGGACGTGCTCCTGGATGCTCTCCAGCTTCTTCTCCGCCTCTGCCAGCCGCGGTGCCAGCGCGGCTGCCTTCTTTTCCAGCTCGGGGATGGCCGTTTCCGCCGCCGCTGCTGCCTTCTCCACCTCCTCCGCCTTGGCTGTGTCCTGTTGAGCTCAACACGGAAACGGCTGTATGAGAGAGGAGGCGAGAGGCTGACGCGAGAATCAGCAAAAGTCTGAAATAACTAGCACCCGTGTCGCGAAATGGCATTCCAGGCCACAATTTCCGATCGCAGCGGTATCTGCATTGAGGCGCGAGTCCTCACCTTGGCGATCTTATCGGCGAGCTTCTTGAGGCGCGCCTTGCAGTGTTTGAGGTCTTCGCGCATCTTCACGTCCTTGCGCTCGTACTCCTTGAAGTCCGCCCGAGCCGCCTCCAGCTCCCCGCACAGCGCCTGCCACGCCCAGCCGTGCAGTGAAAATCATGAAGCCAGTACTGGCACAAGGTGACCAAGGCATAGCGTCACTTGCCACGAAACGGATACCCGTTCAGTAAAACGATTCAGGCAAAACGTCTCAGCTGTTCCTTCTCGTTCAACCCTTACCCACGATACCCTTCTCGTTCCATCGCCCCTTGCCCACAATACCCTTCTCGTTCAACCCTTACCCACGATACCCTTCTCGTTCTATCGCCCCTTACCCACGATACCCTTCTCGTTCCATCGCCCCTTAGCCACGATGCCTCGTGGATCCTACTACACACAGCCGTTCCACCTGTCGCGAATCATCCTTCTCTTCCGCCGTCCCTCCCCATGACTCACCTCATACTCCGTGTTGCACTTCTCGCACGCGTCTGTCTTCACCTGCAGCTCCTCCCGCAGTCCTGCGCACTTCTCCCTGCACGCACGGACAGAGATAGAAGCACATCAGTCCCGGTAAACGCACGTAAAAAAGCTCACCCTTCTCTCCTGCCTATCCCTCCCACTCCCCTTCCCTCCTCTCCACGCTGGCCGTCTGACCTTCACCCCTCTGCGTTTTCTCCGACTATTCCCACTGTATACCTCCTTCCTCGCGCAGCTCTCCCCCTATCGGCCCCCCCCACACTCACTTCTCCGCCGTCAGCGTGCCCTCCAGCTCCGCCACCTTGGCGCCCAGCGCGCCCGCCTTGCCCTGCGACTCTCTCAGCGCCAGCGCGCGCCCCACCATGCCCCACTGCGCGCACTGCGCCTCCTTCACCATGTACGCCTCCGCCGCCCGCTTCGCCTCCTGCCGCACCGCGCGCGGAAAGGGGGTTCGGGAGGGAGGGGTCAGGCAGGGAGGGAGCAGACGGGTGGCAGCGCGTGAGGGGAACGCAGGTTGAGGACACAATGCAGGAAGGGAATGCGCGACAGCACCTTCAACCAACAAATTGGCAGCAAAGACAAGTTCATGTTCCTCCCTCTCTTTCCCCCACAGCAGCCACTGCGCACTCCCTCAAATCTCCCCACAGCATCCACCGCGCCCTCCCTCTAATCTCCCCACAGCAGCCACTGCGCACTCCCTTTAATCTCCCCACAGCAGCCACTGCGCACTCCCTCTAATCTCCCCACAGCAGCCACCCACTGACCTCCAGCGTGTCCTTGTCCTTCTCCGCGTGCTTCACTCGCTCCACCAGCCCCACGCGCCGCTCGTTCAGCTCCTCCAGCCTGCACACGTCAACCCACCCGCACCACACGCACGAGTCAACATCCGTCGGCGCATTGCCACTGCCAAACCGCACGATTCTCCATTACACCGCTCAAGAACGACCAACCGGACAACGGAGCATGAGGGGTAGGGAGGCAGAAAGGCAGGCGGGAAGCTCACTGTTTGGCGCCGGCGTCGATCTGGTCGATGTACTGGTTGGAGCCGATGATGTCCTCCAGGTACTCCAGCAGCCCCTCGTCGTGCGGGCCCTGCGCCTTGGGCTTCATCATCGCGATCTGCTCCACCTCGCCCTGCGCGCGTAGCAGTCGCATGCGAGATACGAGCAATGGGAATGAACGCACTTACCAGCGATGAGGCAGCATAGGAACGAGCGCGGGAACAGGAATGGCAACACAATACCGAAATGGAACGCTAGCAGTCACTGGGCAGTGCAAGAGTGCTACAGAAGGCACGAATCCAGTCGCGCGTCTCACACTGCCTTTAGAGCGCGCCAGGGAACGGCCTAGCCACAACGGCATTACTAGCTTCGCAGCGGCGCGCACCTGCAGGATGAGGAAGCGGTTGTTGTCGAGGTCCACCCCCTTGGCCTTGAGCAGCCTCGTCACCTCCGTGAACGTGCTCGCGTGGTCGTCCACGTGGTACTTGGACGTGTTGTTGCGGTACGCCGTACGCGATATAACGAACTCCGATCCTGGCACAGACTCGTACTTCTCGTCATCCTGAAACGAAACGACTACAGCGTCTGAGAATTCCAGCAAGGAATGATGAGAAAACTGTCATGGCAGAATACGAATACGACCGTCGCTCTCATGCATCTCTGCTGCTACAGCCTGGACTTACCAGATCAACAATTTCTTTGAAGTGCACGGATACGCGGGCAGACTCGAGATTCTGATGATCAGTGGAGTTGTGAATCAGCTCCGACACCTTGTTCAGTCGCAGCTGCAAGGCCATGCCATGGAAGTATCCAAACGAGTCAGTTCATGACTGTTACCAAAGGAAAGGGAAATGCCAAACTTTTCAGAAAGCTATCAACGAACTGCACGAAAGGCATTAACACACGCTTGGCATAGTCATTGCAAACAAGGGACTGACTCATCGTCGTTAAACTAAGCAGCACACTGACCTGCTTCGCGCGTTTCCCGAAGACGAAGAGCATGGCGTCGATCACGTTGCTCTTGCCGCTGCCGTTGGGGCCGACGACCGACGAGAAGCACTTGTGGAACGGTCCTACGCGCTGCACGCCCGCGTACGACTTGAAGTTCTCGAGGACCATCTCCGTGATGATCAGCCTGCTCTGACCGCCATGCGATGATCGCTCGGCTCCAGATGATGGAGGCGGGCTAGATCCGACGCCTTGGTCGTCGGGAATCCCCATGGTTAGTCGTCAAAATACGAAAGCTCTGAATCCTACTGTCGTCTCACTCTTCAGTTATACAGCAGCGGGAAGCTGCCTACAGATATGGCCTGTCGTGTCTCTATCGAAAATTTACAATAGCTTTCCAAATCGTCGCTGAGGACTAGCTGTCAGGTGTCCAAGATCGAATTCACCGGCGCGGGTCAACAAGGCTGTTGACCTGACATGCGCCACAAGGCAAAACTACGGTACTTTATAAAACAGAATCAAGTGCAACTATACGACTTTAAAACTAGGGTAACGTCGTGAGGACGACAACTAGCAGGCAAAGCCTTTACAATGACTGAAGAGCCTAAAAAGAAATTACCAGCAGGTACCTGTGGAATCGCGGAGACAATCTACAAACTAGGATTGATTCGCTTTGGAACACAACTTGATAGTTCAGCAGGCGAAGGGAGCGTTGAGGAAGAACCTTGGGAATTGCAGCGCGGAATTCCACCTTGGGGTTGAAGGGCTTGTACACCCACCAAAAGGCTGCTGGGCGATTCCAGTTGGGTGAGCCAATGGGAAGTACACGGCTCCTGCGAGCCAGTCTCGAGGTGTTCAAAATTTCCCGCGGATTTCTGACACTGACAGCGGTTCCCGATAGGAAACTGGCTGTCGCGCTTCATGCTACCTGGCCATGTTCATTTGTTCAAAGATACAGCACAGAATGCTTACAACTCAACTTTTAGACTAGAGTGATTGAGGTAGCATATGGAACTTGGCCTGGAAACGTACACAAAATCATATCTGCATCTGATAATGATTTTTTCAATAATCAATGGTGTGTATGTGCATGTGGGTTTGTTCCTTGGTGAGCTGTGCTGAATTTAATAATAAACCTCGCCCCATCTTACCTTCAACCTTCCAAGACACATCTCAACCAAACATACGTACAAGGGGATAAAATTGTCATGCTAAAGGAATCAAAAACAAAACAGAATCAGTATCAAGCACATCCCAAATCTCGTTCAGTAGTGATCTTTCAGCAGCCATCAGCCATCCTTCAGTAGCCACCAGCACCATACCCTCCACCCCCATATCCACCTCCCCTGCCACCACCACCGCCACCACCACCAGGGCAATCACGTGCCCAGTGACCCGACCCCCCACACTTGAAACATGAACCACTCCCGCCCCCTCCCCCACCACTGCCGCCACCGCCGCCACCATAACCACCACCACCCCCACCCCCATAACCACCCCCACCACCTGCGCCCCCACCAGCACCAGCGGCAGGACAGTCTCGCGCCCAGTGACCCGACCCCCCACATTTGAAACACGACCCACCTCCGGCCCCTCCACCACCCCCACCGCCCCTGCCCCCACTGCCACCATCAAAACCCCCTCCCCCACCGTAACCTCCCCCACCCCCACCATAGCCACCACCTCCTCCACCACCACCACCACCATAAGCACCGCTGTTATACCCACCGCCGCCAGCACCAGCACCAGCAGCGCCCCCATATCCCCCTCCTCCAGCCGCATACCCCCCACCCGCAGCTCCCCCCCGACCCACCTGCATGCCACCCACGGCAGCAGACAGCCCAGGGGAAGCTGGCACGGGCGCAGTGAGCGGCTCTCCCCGCTGCAGCCTGCCGATGTAATCCAGCAGCACGCGGCTCTCAGCCGCATAGTTGACGGGCTCCGCCTTGACCACGGTGCACTTCACCTTGGCCTCGTCCTGCCACGTCTCCTCGCGCACTTTGAGCTTCACCACCCACTGGCTCCACTGCGCGTTGGCAAACACCTCCCCCGCCCGCAGGTCGTTCTCCTCGCGCCACCTGTTGATCTCCGATGCTGGCGTCTTCAGCATCTCCTCGGAAACTTCCTGGAAGGCGGAGAGCCAGGTCATGCCGGTGTGGTCCTGCAGCTGGAAGCTGAGAATGTAGCGGAAGTCACAGGTGGGCGTGGCACGGCCGCACTTCTCACAGTACCACCCGTCGCCGTTGCTGTCCTGCACCACCTTCTTCTGGCACTGCCGCCCCTCCGCCGTCGTCAGCGGGCACGCGGGGTAGTAGCAGTTATCCGCACGGAAGTACGACACGGTGCCGCGCACAGAGATCCAGTCCACCTTCCCGCCCAGCCCCAGCCCCTCATCCTTAATCGCCGCTATCAGCTTGCGAGGCTCCCTGCCTGTCCCGCCCCCGCCCGCCCCGCCAAACTCGGAGGAGATGACCTGCACGGGCATGGACGCGCCCCCGCCAGACGTGTACCAGGCGGCGAGCTCTTTGGCCTGGGGGATGTCGGGGTTGATGGCGAGCTGCGTGGACGATATGGTGCCCAGCGACTTGCCGCTGAAGTCGCTCACTCGCCCCGCCTTGATTGCCAGCACCGGGTGCTGCCCCGCCTCCACCAGCTCCTGGCCGCGGCAGCGACAGGTGGGGTGGGGATGAGGAAAAGAAGGGGGGAAGGAGAGTAGAATTCATTTCTGGATGGCAACAAGCTCGTGTCACTCCTCTCGCAATACTCAACTCACGCGATAACCCCATCCCACACCCCATCAGCCCCTATCATCCTCTCCGCCCCCCAACACACACGCCCTACCAACCCCTATCACCCCTACCACGCGCGCCTGACCTGCAGCTGCTGCCCCTCGGCGCTGCAGAAGCCGCCCCACATGGTGAGCTCCGTCTGCCGCCCGGATTGGTCGCGGATCATGCAGGTGCGCTTCATGGTCTCGGTGCCGTTGCGCCGCATGATGCTCGAGCTCGCGCCCACCGACACCACCACGCCCACCACGTCCGCCACGCTGTTGTTCTCCATGCCCGCCACGTCAGCGATCGTGCGGAAGTCGTACTGGATGGCGCCGATGGCGCCGTCGTCGGGGCAGAGGTCGAGCGTGGAGGACGCGTCGAGCATGATCTCCCAGTCGCTGCGCAGGTGGTTGTACATGCGCTGTGCTGGCTTCAGACTGCCCTTGGACAGCAGATACACCTGCCCCTTCTGCTCCATGGCAGGACGGACAGAGTGAGGGAGGACGGGCGGATAGAGGCGTATAGAGGGAAGAAAGAAAGAGTCAGAAAGAGAGCACGGAGGGGATCACAGAGGGATGTGAGACACGAGACAGGGAAAGCAGGCTTGTGGCTCAACGCAGATGGTAACGCTGATCACTACCAACTGGTTGCCCCGCTGGAGGTTGCGGCACCCAGTCAGCTGGCCCTTCCCCCCGTGCTCTCGCAGCGCGGCGCACCTGGATCTTGTCGAAGAAGCTGTCGACCTCGCGGTTGAAGCACGTGACGCGGATCTCCCCGCCCTCGGCGTCGAGCAGGTCGAAGCTGAACACCTTGCCCTCGCCGCGCGCGTTGTTGTACCGCCGGATGTCGCCCTTGGACGTCACGCGCGCCTTGATCGTCCACTTGCCCAGGTACGGGTTCAGCGAGTCGATCGGCACCACCCGCGCGTGCGCCTCGTTGCGCGCCACGGGCCCGCGCGCGGAGTAAGACGGCGGGGGAGCTGCTCCGCCCCCTCCCCCGTATCCTCCGCCGCCGCCCGCGCCTGGGCCACCTGCGAATCCTCCTCCGTGACTAGCGGCGGGACCTCCACCAGGAGGTCCGGATACCCCAGAATACTGCGACTGCTTCTGCTGCTGCTGCTGCTGCTGCTGACCGAAGCCACCAGCGGCGTACGGGTTGGGCGGGACTGGCTGGGCTGCATTGGACGGATGAGCAGCGCCCGACGGGCCGTGCTGCGCCATGGGACTAGGAGCAGCGTTGGACGGCTGCTGTGGCGGCGGGTGGTGCTGCGGGGGTGGGGCGGCGGAGTTGTTGGTGAGTGTGCTGGCGGGGGTGGACGACGGCTGCTGGCGCGGAGGCGGGGCCTGGCCGTCGGCGGGGAAGGGCTGCGGATCGCCTATGATGGCGGCGTCCGACTTGACCACCTCCATCTTCAGAATGATCACGATCCTGCATCGACGCACATGCGTAAAACACACGTCAGGAGTCTTGGAAAAGAAAAGGGAAATAAAAACTTGATAACGGAGACTGGTGTACGCCATTGTAATGCTCGTCATCTGCTTTACCATGCCGCCGCTATGCTTTCGCTACATCCACGTCGCGTTCCCGTCTTACTTTTTCCCGTGAACAGTGTTGGTGACGCACTCCGTGAGATTTATAATGGAGCCCTTCTTAACGGAGGTGCGCATGAGCTCGTTCATCTGCGACGCGATCATGGCCCACTGGTGCCATCGCCCGTCCGACAGCATCAGCCGGTATCGCTCCTGCGCGGGTGGCACGGACGCGCTCCCGACCTGCCGCGAGTCGAACACTTGCAATATGAAATTGCCATCTGTCGCACCGGAGTTTAGAATCTCAAGCGCGTTCGGAGTTAACTCCGACGCCATGGCGATGGCGACGGGAAAGGGTACAACCCGATATGTAAGAAGAACGATGAGATGTCAAATCGTCGGCTGTCTGAAGTGCTGCTATGCCGGCTTTACAGTCTGAATCGCTACTGAACTGGATATTCAAATCCTGGGAACGGAGCACGAGGAACTGAATAGCTGTCTGCTGAAACAGGCTTCTTGAAGTTGCCGCACGCCTTGAATCTGTTTCGTCCTGCTGCGGATGTTTGAACTTCCAAAACTCGAAACTGGATCGCTGCTCCGAAAACTGGCGAAGAGCGCGGGCACCCCACCCGTTTTCGCTGAGAGGGATAGTTACTCGCAACGAGAGCTATCGACGGCCCAGATTTACAAACGAAATGGGGCTCATCCTTCACACCAGCTGGCTTGGCGTCACCTTGAAGCAGAGTAAATTATTGCACTAATCTTAATATTATGCGACTGACCGCTGTCACGGATCTGTGGCGCAATGGTAGCGCGTCTGACTCCAGATCAGAAGGTTGCGTGTTCGATTCACGTCAGGTTCAGGGCCTGCTTTTTGAAGCCCCTTGGAGTTTCAAGGAACATTGGTTGATTTGAAACTCTCTCTGTAAGGTGAAGGATAGATACTGGTACGTTGGCCTTTATCAGGTCTCTTGATTTTGTTGAGTGTGGTCCAGAAACCATGCGGTATTTCAGTCAACATCCCAGTACGGTATCTGTAAAGAAAGAATCCCACTCTACATGCGTACAAGTGCGAACATCAAGAAGTGCAATGGAAAAAACGGTGGCACTTGAGTTACCGTCACTGTGGACTGCACTTGTGAAGAGGTAATCAGTATCGTATGCTATCACAACACCAAATCGCCGCTAGTACAATTTTACTCCGCTTCACGTGCATACACAATTACACCGCGCACGCTGCACAAGCCAGCCCGTCTAGAGGGACTCGAGGAGGGCCTTCTCCATGCGGCGGATCTTGGAACGGATGGAGAGGTCGATGTGCTTGTCACCGATGTCCACCAGCACGCCGCCAATAATGCTGCGTTCCACCCGCTGCTGCAGCTGCAGCGTCTGCCCCGCCTCCAGCATGCCCGTCAGCGCCTCCCTCACCTCCGCCAGCTCTGCTGGGGTCAGCTCCTGCAAAGAGGGACATGGGTGGGATTGGCAAGTGGAGGGGCGTTAATCAACAATAAAGAAAAGAACGTTTTCCCTGCCTGCAGCATGCCCTCCAGTGCTTCCCCCTTCTCTGCCAGCTCCAGTAAGGTCAGCTCCTGGAGAGGAGGAAAGGGGGTGAGGAGGTGGAGAGAGGGAAGTGCGAAGGAAGGGAGTGCAGACGTGGCGAGGGGAAACAACACAGCATGACCGGCGAGGGTTTGTTGAGTTAAGGGGAAGAAATGGCATGCAAGCAAGCATGCAGTTGACTTGTGACGCCTGCAGCTCACCACCTGGTCAGCACGTGGCCGGTGGAAAAGAGAAAACAGCATCCGATGTGATGGGATGCGACTCACGAGGGCAGCGGTGACGGTGGCCTTGACCTGGCCGCGGTGGGCCATGAGGATGTCCTCGTATGTGGCCGCTATCTTGGGCAGATACGACAGCCGCCCCGCATCCGCCAGCACAGCTGCCCGCACATACACAGGACGGGGCGGTTGCAAGGGAGGCAGGGGAAAGGGGGGTTGGAAATGGGGGGAAGCGAGACGTCAGCTCTGCATGGACTGAGTGGAGGAGAGAGGGGAGAGGGAGGAGGGGGCGGACGGCACCAATAGTGCTGGGCGAAGATAGCATTCGTCACCTTCTCAGTTCGATGCTGTCACACGCCTCGCCCATCACAACCACCGCACGCCCCACCAACTGAGAGCGTTCCTGGTGGTGTGCGAGCTGCTGGCGCGGGAGACATTGACCTCCACAGCCCTCCCCGCTCGTTACCATCACACACCTCGACACAGCGACACCCCACCCACCGCTCTCAACCGCTCACCGAGGAAGTTTTTGGTGATGGGCGAGTACTTGGCCTGCGAGAAGATGTCCTCCACGGCCTTCACGCGCACCTCGCGCGACACCGACGGGTCGCGCAGGAACGACGCGAAGGTGGGGTTGGCGCCCGTGACGGCCGCGAGCTCGCGCATCTCGCGCTCCACCGCGTCCACCTTCCCGCCGCGCACCGCCGACACGTACAGCGCCGACGCGTACTTGCCCGCCACGCCGAACACCGCCGTCGGTACCTGGCGGGGGACGGGGTGTGCGGGGGAGGGGAGGTGTAGGGGGGATGGGGAGGTGAGGGGGAAGAGTGAAGGGGTCGGTTGTTGTCGGTCAGGCGAGAAGAAACGATGAAGCTGACGCACTGAACGCAGAAGCAACAACCTCTCCTTCCCCCTCTCCCCCCCATTCCTGCATCCCCCACGCCAACGACAAGACAGGCGTCACTCGTACCTTTACATCGACGGGCGCAGCCTCGGCGGCAAAGGATCGAATCGCCTGCAATGCGCATTGGAGAAGAGGTACGAGAAGGAAGCGATGAGACGCGTGAGGGATGGAGGGAGAAGGCGATGGCAGACATGCCATACACGTCGTCGTCAGGAATGCGTTTAGGTTTCGTCAAGCAAGTTCCAACGGCGCACAGATGGTCAGGATTCACAGAAAGGACGCGTTGTAAGGAAGATCGGATTGCTGATCCAACACCAGGGGACAGAAGCGTCTGACTCGAAAGCTTAACCGAGGAAAGACCTAAGTCGAGGTCGAAGCTAGGGGTGGCCGTGGTCCCTTCTCACATTTTGAACGGTCCCAGATCGATTAGCTAGGCGACCGAGCGACCGGAACATGGTGACAGCGGAAGTGGTGGCGACGATTACGAAAGTGATGGATGTGGAATGGTGGAGCGGAGGTTGCGGCGGCGATTGCGGAAAATGGGTGTCGTATGGAGGGAACAAAGTGACGAATAAGCGCCTTCACTGAGTCGCTCGCTATATCGCTTGTTGAGAAAATGAGCTGTGGAAATTGGCTTGCATAAGGAGAATTTTTGTAAGGCTTATTGAAAATGCTGATCTACAGTGAGTGTAGCATCAATAATTAGCCACGTCATCCAGCCTCAGCCATTCGAAGGTCTTCTCTGCATGCAAGTGCCTGCTCGCAATCGCACAAATGTAATCTTCCGGCTTGAAAGTCAGGCTGTCACACCCGATTCCGCCGCGTTGTTCCGCCAAAGGTTTAAAACAATGTGAAATCTAGCATCCTTCGGCAATGTGTAATTGGGTCATAAGAAACTGAATCGTGAAAGCCTTTGGAGCCGCAGAGATCTGAAGCTCCATTCGAACACTCAAAGCATTTCGAAACCTGGACTATAAAAATCATCCACATTGATTGGCAGTCTCCGTCAGCTTGACGCCCCTGTTTCCTGCCGTTCCGTTCCAGTTCCCGTCAGGGTTTCGCAATTTCCGTCCAATTTTGCTGGGCTTCCCAACCCAACCCCCCTCGGTGGTGCTCACCGATCTGGGTCCGAACACCTGGTCTGCAAGCGACCATCCTCCCTCCAGCCCATCTGCTCCTGACTTAGGAACCGCATCGCCAACCATGAGAAAGAAGCTTGACACTCGGTTTCCAGCGGTACGTGCAGCGTTCGTCCTCGCTATTTGCAGTGTGACGTGCTTCATCTTCCACTCATCTTTCGTGTTTTGTTGTCGCGTTTCTGTGGTCTTCAGGCTCGAATAAAGAAGATCATGCAAGCGGATGAAGAAGTCGGAAAGATCGCGCTTGCAACTCCCGTTCTGATATGTACGTTGGAAAGATATTTGCATCTTCTACCTCCGTCTCGTATTACGGATTTTTTTTCTCAACTAAGTCTATTTGCTGCATGTCTCCGTCTTCGTATGTTTTCGGGGTTAGATGTGCAGCCAAGGCCCTAGAGATTTTCCTCCAGGACTTGTGTGATCGGACGTATGATATCACTTGCAAGCGCGGGGCGAAAACCCTGGCCGCGTCCCATTTGTAGGTGATATTGTACGTTTTTTTTTACGTCGGCTTTTTTTTATCTGCAAAGCTGAGTATGTATCTATTATTGTGCTTATCTACGGTCGACCGACACCATGTTGCAGGAAACAGTGCGTCGCCTCTTTCAGCGAGTACGATTTTTTGAAAGAAGTCGTTTCAAAACTTCCAGATGTTGACGCCCCGGACTCTCCTGATGATGCCCCATCCGGTCGCGCAAAGAGGTGAGATTATTATAGGACTACACCGAAATCGTGACGCTGGTTGTGAGCTTTGAATTCATGATTGATTGTGCTTCGTCCTTTCTACCGCAGAAAGCTGTCCGACGATGATCAAGAAGAACCTGTTTCTCCGAAATTTAAGGTGAGTTGATTGCTGCCTTTTCTTCAACTCGTTGACGTGTGAGTTGTCCCGGGCTCACCAGCCTTTGGTTTTTGCGTTGTCTTAACAGGAATCGAAGGGGACTAGCCGTGGGAGATCAAACGGCTGTAACGAAGTGGTGAAGGCGGAAGTCAAGTTAAAGAACGGCAATCCACTCTCAAGTGCAAGAGCTGACGGCCCAAGTGGCTCTGGTCATGCTTTGAGAAAGCGAGATGAAGCGGAGGATTTCAGCAAGCCAACAAAAAGGTCAAAAGCTCTGTCCGACCAGCCAAGGCCGTTTAAGGTGCTTTGCAAAGTGAAGATTCCGAAGAGAAATTATTACGATACTGAGGAGACTCCAACTGCAATTAGCGAGCCAAAGGTGGAGCACCTGCGAGCAGTGAAGGCAGAAGCAAGACCAGTCCAGAGGGAAGCTGACCCGAATGCAGAAGTGAAGGCAGAAGCAAGTCCGCGAGGGTTTGACCTCAATTTTGACTTGAATGCGGAGCCACCTGAAGATGTAGCATGCAACAAGGATGATTGTATCGATGTCCAGCATCCTGGAGAGTCGAATAGCAATGATGATGAACCTCATGGTGTGAATTGCCAGGAAAAAATAGCTGCTGTTGATAGTGGCCCCTGCGCAAAAGCTGCCGTTGATGCCCCCCTCCTTAGAAACTGTGTTAATTATGATAGTGAGGATGACTATGATTGTGATGATGGGGTGTAGTCTTGCCATCTACACATCTTGATCTAATGTATCTAACGTGATTTTATGTTGCACCATTCCACTAAGCAGTCTTTCTCCTTCCTAAACCTTCTCTTCCCTCCCTACAGGATCCACGTGAAAGTCAACAGCCAAGATGGATTCACTCAATGGCAGCACATGCTGTCGCAGCACCTGCCGGTGGCTGGGGTGCTTGTTGTAAGCATCCAGTGCCTCCTCTGTGATCACACACAATGTGGCAGGGGAGACAGATTGGGGTGCTTGAGAAGCGAAGGTAGGCAGGTACATCTGTCCTGATGGTACATAGACCTGAGAGCACAAAGACTTGAGGGTACACAGACATGAGGGTACATAAACCTGAGGGCATGTAGACTTGAGTGAGGGTGCATCCACATGAGGTGCACCCACCCACCTGAGGGTGCATCCACCTAAGCATACACCAACCTGAGGGGAATCTCGCCACGAGTCCGTGCGTAAAGCCCTTGGCGGTGTCGACAGCAAAGTTGGCGCCAGCAGTGAGCTGCACGAGGATGTGCGGTTCCATGACTAGGGGCAGGGCAGCCAGAGCTGCAACCATGGCGCTCTGCTTGTCCGCCTCCGCTGCTGGCTTGGCGCGCAGGAACACCACGTGCTCCACTCCCCGCTCATACGCCTGCTCAGAGTGTGCCATGGGGGGAAGAGGAGGGGGAGAGAGTGTGGACGGACAAAGCATAGGGGGGAAGAGGAAGGGCATCAGAAAGGAACAGCAGAAGGACAGAATTGAAGTGAAGGAGCGAGGAAAGGAGAGAGTGACAAAGGATTTGATGAGGGGGGTGTGGACGAGGGAATGGGGGAGAGGAGAGAAGCGAAGAGCAGGGGACTCACATCGCCACGCCTGAAGACGCTCTCTATGTCTGCCTCCACCTGGGCCTCGTATGACAGCGATAGCGTGTCCTGCTCTCATGCATGCACTCCATCATATTCATGCGCACATGCTCACGCACACGCATTCATGATCACATGATCAACCCCCACTTCCCCTCCCCACACACATGGACGAATAGGTACACAAATGAAAAGCAGACAAGGAAGAGGAGAGGCACAAACACGGGAGCAGGCCATGGGAGGCGAGGAACCCAGGGCTAGACGCAGGGGGTTAGAGAAGCCACGACCGAGGAATTGGCAGGAGCAAGGCGAGTGGCGGCACTCATGGTGCATGCGGGTGCGATGGCAGGTTGGGTTTAGGGGAGTTGGAGTGAGAGACGAGAAACCGATGCTGCGAGAGAGGAGTAACTGTTGGTGCCGCATTGCGCACTCACGGTGCACGTGGGCGAGACGGAACTGCTCCATGATGGCCGTCAGCACGAGAGAAGCAAAGGCTAATGAGTTGAGAGGAGATCGGCGAGAGGCGGCACTCACGGTGCACGAGGGCGTGACTCACGGTGCACGAGGGGGTGACTCACCGTGCACGAGGGCGTGACGAACTGCTCCATGGCGGCCGCCAGCGCGGGCAGCGCGAGGAAGCCGTCCAGTGCCTGGCGCGAGGGGAAGCGCGCGAAGAGCGCGTGGGAGAAGCCGACGGGGCGCTTGGTGGGTTGGATGCGGCCGAGCGAGATGGCGAGGAGGTGCGGGTAGTGGTACTGCAGCGAGTACAGGTGGCTCAGCATGTCGCCCTCGCTCTCCTCCGCCATGTCCGCCGGCATATTAAACAGCGCCACGTGCTCCACCACCGGGCTGGAGGGCGGGGGGGGAAGACAGGAGGGGGCGCGATGGGGGAGGGCGCGATGGAGGAGGGCGCGAATGGGGAGAGCGCGCAATTGGGGAGAGGGCGCGAATGGGGAGAGGGCGCAATTGGGGAGAGGGCGCGATGGGGGAGAGGGCGCGATGGGGGAGAGGGCGCGATGGGAAGAAGGGCGCGACTGAGGGGGCAGAGACTCGGGGCGATGGAGCCTCAGGTAGCAGCATTTTGAAAACGGTGAAAGAACGCAATGATGCACCCGAGATCGCGGGAATGAACGGTGACAGTTTCGGAAACTAAACGCGCATCACAATTATTACGGGCGCTCCTCACGTCATCTTCACGGGTCGCTCCGCCGAGTCCATCTCGCCGCCGCTTGCCCTATCCGCCGCGCCTGCAGTAGCGGCCACAACCACCCCACCAGACGCGGAAATTGACCGTCTGCTCAAGGCCCGATCTAACCGCCTCCACCCGACCAACGCGCCGCTTAGATCCCTCCGGGTCCCGCGCGCTCTCTCGCTGCTACCCACTAGGCCAATTCCACCTGCCTTGCCGGTGCCGGGGCGTGCGGTATAAGGGGCGGAGCTAGCGACGAGGCCTGCGACAGGTACTGAAGCGAGCGGCTTTGCTGCGACTGAGTGATGCAGCATCGCGGCTTCTTCCGTTGAATTCGCTGCGGCTGTTATGCAGTCGTCAACAATGGCTGTCAGATTGGAATGAGCAGATAGGAATCCCCAAAAGAACAAGCGGCGAAAGAGTGGACGCAACACCCCGCCCCTAAATAATGCTTGGAGCATCAAGAGTAGCGAGGCGACATCAAAAAACGTGCTCAGCAGGATTCGAACCTGCGCGGGCAAAGCCCACAAGATTTCTAGTCTTGCCCGATAACCACTCCGGCATGAGCACACGTTTATAGTTTTACTAGAATTTCCTAGACTTCAGTACTCCTGCTGTGTGCATAACACAGGTACCTGCAAAACAGCTAAACTTATCAGAGCCAGGTTTCGATCCTGGGACCTGTGGGTTATGGGCCCACCACGCTTCCGCTGCGCCACTCTGATGTGGCAACTAGTTCAAGAAGCATGATATTATCGATACATTAATTTAGTATCCGGAAGCACGATGCTGGTGTGTGAATCCCTACTGTGCAAAACTCGAGCCGTCTTATTCTCGAACCCAAGGCGGCAGATTTCGATTTGCCATTCCAATTCTATCTCACTTTCGCTACCCATTACTTTCGCCACTCTCCGCTGCCCGCATCTCGCTCGATATCGTCGTGCCTGATCTCGATATCGTGCCTCCTCTCGTCGGCACCCTAAGTGCTCTCCGCGTTCATCGCCTCCGCACCGCACGAATTATAAGCGATCGCGACAGGATGACTCGAGAGCTCGCTACCATCATCACAGCAGCTGCCGCTCTTGTCGGGACCGGTCTGGGCCTGCTTTTATCGCGTACATTGCTGAAGCCTAGAATAGGGAAATCGACGGTGAAGCACGTATTCCTGGCGAAATTTAAGGCGGATCAGACGCCTGAGCAAATCCAGGAGCTGATCGAGGGATACAAAGGGCTCACCAAGAAAATTCCGGCCATGAAAGGATTCGAGTGGTGAGCTGCATCTGCCACGCTTCACTCTCTCCCCTCCCTTCGTTTCAACCAAAGAAAATTCGTCAACGTCTTTCCGTTAGCTTGGCCCTTGCTGCCCCATTGCTGATGCACAGGTGCATTCCCACGAGCCTCCCTGCAAAAACCCCCCAGGCACCATGTGGCCAGACTGCTATGCGGCCTCATTCGCCCCTCTGCCCCTCTCTTCCCTACAACCTCGTTCCGTGCCATGAACATCCCCCTGCCGCCCGCCCTGTGCCCCCCCCTGCGACTGCTTGTGCACGGCAGGGGCGCGGACGTGAGTGTGGAGGGCTTCACCAAGGGGTACACGCACGTGTTCATCACTACCTTTGACGACACGGCGGGGCGCGATGCGTATGTGGAGCACCCGGAGCACAAGGCGTATGCAGGGGTGTTCTTCCAGGGGCTGGAGGACGGCATTGTGCTCGACTATGTGCCCTCCGTTGTCCTCTCCCGCTTCTACTCCTGACCGCCCAGCTCTCTGCCTCTCACCTCCTAGCTGATGCCAGGAGAGCTGAAGTATTATTGTGTTGCTTTTACCTTTCACTGAAATATATGGTACCTACTATCAGCCCTCAAAATTCGGGCTTTGGGATAAGGAAGGTGTGTGAGCCCCAAAAGACAGACCGAAAAAGACTAGTGGGTATCCCGAAACAAAAATTCGGAAGCACGATGCTGGCGTGTCAGCCCTCAAAATCACGAAAAACATAAGCAAATGCTGTCGGGGACTCGTGGGGTAGAATGCGTTGAATGGAGTCACATGACATGCAAGAAAAGCGCCCACCTCCCTGATGGAGTCATCTCTTTTGAATTTCATTTGTTCCACATCGATCCTCCTCCAGCTCAGCCATGGGTCGCGGATCTTCCGTCTCGCTGCGCTTTCCTTCGCACCTCGCCATCTATGTGCTGCTCGCTATCTCCCTCTCCGCGTTCTGCGCCGCACAGCTTAACGATGGCGCTGCCGCATTTCCTGCTGAGCCGCGTCGGCTCGGCGATCCCAAGCTTCCGTTGGCCCTCGCGGCGGTCGAGGCGCTCCTCCGCCAGGCGCAGTTCGACGTCGCTGTCGGGGAGTACGATCGCGCCGCTCGCCGCCTTTTTTCGCCCGTCGCCGAAGTGTCTATCCCGGGCCGCCCTCTGCAGCGCCTCAAAACCCTCGAAGAAAAGGCAGCGTTTCTTGAGTCACTCGCGCCTGTTCCGCCCCCCTCTCCCCCACCCTCCGCAAACGGTACTCTTTTGAGCGGTTTGTCCCCGGTAGTGGCCGCTTCGTTAATCGAGCGCGCGGAGCTGTACGTGCCCAAGTACGATCGCTACCTGGGCTACTCGCTGCTCACTTACGGCCGCCTCCTGCAGGACGTAGAGTCCGCCGAGCCGCGCACCGGCAAGTTCGTCCTCTTGTGGGATGTCATCGCGGACAACGCCAGGGTCGCGGAGGATGCTGACGTGGAATCTTCGCGGCAGCAAGAGAGCAACTCCGTCTACGCGTGGGGGCTCAGCTGGGCTTACTGGAACGACGACGCGCACAGGCATGGCCCGCCCCCCTCCCCCCCGCCTCGCCCACCGCACCCTCACCCTCCGCACCCGCCCCACCCGCATCCTCCTGCCCCTGCCCCATCTCCTGCTGCATTGTCCACCGTTGATGCTACCGTCCGTGACGCCCGCGCTACCCTTGGATCTGATGATGGCAGGCAACCAAGCCACGAGGTCTCGCTCGCCAAGCCTCTGCCTTACCTCCCCGAGCCAGAGCGCACCCTGTCCGAGCCTCTCGCCGATCCGCACCCGGCCGACTTGAAGCTGCAGATTCAGGAGGCTTGGGCGAATTTCAGCCTCAACCTGGCGAATGCTGACGTGGCAGCAGCTGCCAGCATTTTCGCTGACAACGTGACGCTGCTGCCACCTGGCCATCCGAAGCTCACCCTACCAGGACCCCTGGACAAGCAGGATTACCTGCAGCGACTGGTGGACTGCCACGTGGCACTGGATGTGACCGTCGATTCTCTCCTTCTGGTGAAGCTGAAGTCCTCGCTGACGCCTGTCGTCCCGCCGCCGCCCCCGGCTCCCGAAGTTCTGCCTTCCCAGGACGCGTCGTCCGCCATGCTCCGTGGCTACAGTGCCGCGGATCTCCTGGCTGATAACGAGGAGCTCAATAGCGGGGCGTCGAATGGCGATGCGTTGGGTGTGATCACGCGCTCCTCCTTCATCCTCACCAACACCTCCACCGGTATGTTGCTGGCGCTCACCTCAGATAGATTCATGGCTGGATCCTTGTGGCTGATCGTTAAGGGGTTGACTTGCAGCTTCCTGTGTACCCAGAGCATGCTCACCCACTCCACATCCATCTCTGAACCTCTCTCCTCCCTTCCCTCCCTCCATGCGTTTTCCTCGAGTAACCCCTTTTCTTTCACTCACTCCCTGCCCTTTTCCCTTAACGTCAAGCTCCCTCCTGCTATTCCCTATTCCTCCCTCCCTGCCCTTCCCCCCTCCCTGCCTTCCCTCCTCCCTGCCCTTTCCCCCTTGGTGCCCTTGTGGCCTTTCTGCCATGCTGCACTGCCCGTGCAGGCAAGCATGTGAAGGCGGGCTCTCTGCTGCAGAAGTGGGCGCGCGTCAACCTGCCCGACTCTGGCATGGCAGCAGCAGGCGCGCCCCTTGCCGCCTCTCGCCACCGCTGGTACTTCGAGTGGGCCATCTGGAACTACCACAAGATCCCGGCTGCTGATGTTGCTGCCATTTAGGGTACCCATGTGGTGGTTGTGGCATGATGGCTTCAACTAGAGTATGTTTGAACCTGGTGCATTGACAACAGAATTTTGACGGAGTTAGCCAAGCTGTGTTTTTCCGTTTGCGATGTGTACTGCAAAAACTAGAAAAGGTCATGCTCTAGTAGATTGAGCACCCATCACCGTATCATAATCAAAATTGCCATATTCTTGGAGGACGTCACATTAGTATTATTAACGCGGACGAGCAAGGTCGTGCTGGTGCATGCATATCTTGAAGAATGCCTAGCACGACCTCTGCCTCACCTCGCCTCATCTCGCGACCTCTACCTCATCTCGCCTCACCTCTGCCTACTGTCCTCACGGAGAGATTCCGGCCAGCGCCTTCGCTGTCTGAAAATTGGTTGCTCGATCAGATAGATCATAGAACCAGCACGTCTCGCTCGCCTTGAAGAATCGCCTAATTGCTAGCGTCTCTACATTTCTGACTCTGTATCAGATCAATCGTGCGTCTATGATCTGGCGATCCAATCCGCGGTCGTAGTGTTTAAAATCTGAACGATCACGCCGTCCGCTTCTCGCGGCTGTCGACGTCGTTCCATTCGACATAACCAGCATCACAATTGACACGTTAGCTGGTTGGTGTAGCGGCCTCACGGCTACCGCCGTGTGAACATGTCGCCACCGGCTCCCGCGCAGGTACGACCACCCCCATTCCGCGCATCTGCTTTCTCTCCTTCCCTGAATCCTATTAGGTTAATTGCGGGTCAGACTGGACTTCCCGCTTTCCCCACTCGCTGCTCGGGTACCCTCCGCTACACCCGCTACATCGCGCTTTGAGTTTTGAGTAGTTTCAACCGTCGCAAACGCGTCTCGCGCTGCGCCGTGTGCGCTCGCCGCCTCCCCGTGCTCTCCCAGGTGCGGTCGCTCTTCCGGACTCTCCTGCGCGAGGCGCACCGATTCCGCAACTACAACGTTCGCCACTACGCGTCCCGCAGGATTCGCGAAGGCTTCGCGGAGAACAAGGACATCGCGGAGCCGGAGAAGGCGGAGGCAGCGTACGAGGAGGGCGTGCACGCGGCGGCGATGGTGCGGCGGCAGGTGGTGGTGTACAACATGTACGCCGCGCCGCAACGGTCCATCATGGAACTCGACAATCCCTAGGGCTCTCCCTAATTCATGAGAGGACCATAGTCACCATGCCGCTGCTAGCACAGCCGTGGTGAATGTACACTTCAATAAATAGAACCCTATACAAGATTACTTAGAAAATTGGGAAGTAAATGTGTCACATTATTGCCATTCTTGGGCATTATCCTCTGCCAGCCCTGGAGCCACCTTGGTCACCTCTTCAGCCGCCTTGGCCACCAAGCCATCCACGATCTCACTCCACTTGCCAGCCACCACCCCTGCTGCATTCTCCACCTCCGCCCTCACCCTCTCTACCTCCGCCTTCACTCTCTCCATGGCCGCCTCTGCTCCACTCCCCCCCAACTCTCCCCCCCTCTCCCCATCCACCGCCCCCCCTCCTCCCTTGTCCACTCCATCTGCATCGTTCGCTCCCTCCTCCCCGTCCCTCCCGCCCATATCATCCTGCGTCTCCTCTGGTTCATCAGAGTGCAAGTGCGGCATGCTGCTGGGGTCAGCAGCGTGGGCCACGTGCAGAGACACGGCCCGCGCAAGCGCCTCTAGGTGCTCCCCCCGTCGCTCCTTGAGCGTGGAGCTGCGCTGCATGCGCTGCTGCTCGGGAGGGGTCTGCTGCTCCTGCTGCTCCGCTTCCATTTCCTGAGTGCGCCACAGTACAGGGAAGGGGGGTTGGCAAGGCGAGATCAGAAAACACAATCGAGAATGGAATGGAGACAGGTGGCAGCGAAACAAGAGACAACAAGGAGCTCAGCTGAGGGCACAGCAGTGGGCGATGGGAGGATAAGGGGACTCACTGCTGGGGGGTGAGTACAGCTAGAACAGGGAGCAAACAATTACCGTATGAATGGGAACAGGTGGCAGTGAAACTGGAATCAACAAAGAGCTCAGATGAGGGCAAAGCAGGGGGCGATGTGAGGAAGGATGGGGTGGGGACTGACAGCGAGGGCGAGGGCGCATTTGGCCTCGATGTGGCCGATGATGTGATCGTAGATGATGGAGGGCGACAGCACCACGCGCTCAAACCGGTGATCCACCGGCACTGCTGTCTTCACCACCGGGTGTGGGTATTGCTTCATGCTGCCACAGGCAGGTGGGCCGCAGTTGTGCAATCACATGGGCGGTGGGCAGTGGGGCGGCGTGAGACAGAATGAGGGTTCTAGTGCATGGTGACACCCTCACGCACATGCCAAAGAGTACAGGGATAGTGGTGGCTCAGCGTGTGCCTTTCTGTACCGCGGAGTTCACACACATCGTGCTGTGATCGCCACACAGGCACAGTGCAGGGCACAGCAGCGTACCCGACTTGTGGGCGGTAGAGCACGTGGAAGAGCCGTCCAGGGGCGTAGAGGCGGCGCGGGTCCTTGAGCTTGTCGGCGGTGGAGATGAGTGCGTCCTGCTGGTACTTGTATAGTAGCATGCATGGCAGACTGCGGTGCATTGTGGGGTGAGGCACGTGGGTGTGGGGGTCACGTGCATGGGATGGGATGGGAGGTGGCATTGTGAGGAAACGAAGGAGTGAGTGAGGGACTGAGGGAGTGTGCACAAAAAACAGGTAACAGTAGAGAATGTGGGATGGCAGCAGCAAGCGAAAAAAAACGGCACATGGAGAGAGAACAGCAGCATGCAAGCTGAAGCCAGCAGTGGGCGAGTTACCAGAAGCCAGCAGTGGACGAGTTACCAGAAGCCAGCAGTGGGCGAGTTACCAGAAGCCAGCAGTGGGCGAGTTACCAGAAGCCAGCAGTGGGCGATTTACCAGAAGCCAGCAGTGGGCGAGTTACCAGAAGCCAGCAGTGGGCGAGTTACCAGAAGCCAGCAGTGGGCGAGTTACCAGAAGCCAGCAGTGGGCGAGTTACCAGAAGCCAGCAGTGGGCGAGTTACCAGAAGCCAGCAGTGGGCGAGTTACCAGAAGCCAGCAGTGGGCGAGTTACCAGAAGCCAGCAGTGGGCGAGTTACCAGAAGCCAGCAGTGGGCGAGTTACCAGAAGCCAGCAGTGGGCGAGTTACCAGAAGCCAGCAGTGGGCGAGTTACCAGAAGCCAGCAGTGGGCGAGTTACCAGAAGCCAGCAGTGGGCGAGTTACCAGAAGCCAGCAGTGGGCGAGTTACCAGAAGCCAGCAGTGGGCGAGTTACCAGAAGCCAGCAGTGGGCGAGTTACCAGAAGCCAGCAGTGGGCGAGTTACCAGAAGCCAGCAGTGGGCGAGTTACCAGAAGCCAGCAGTGGGCGAGTTACCAGAAGCCAGCAGCAAGTGCAGATCGAACAGGTGCTGATGTGCGCGCCAGAAAGTCATCCTGTGACGTTGCATGCGGGATGGGTGGGAGGGTGCAGGAGGGGGAAGATTTTGGGGAAAAGGGGGCGTCTTAGGGTGAGCAGGAGGTGGCACGGAGAGATGAAGACAGCAGAGCATGCAGGGCGTGGGGGGGTTGCAAAGGGCTATCACTGCAACGTGGAAAGGGCTATCACTGCAACGTGGAAAGGGCTATCACTGCAACGTGGAAAGGGCTGCAGGATTGTTGCCATGCGCGTGCCTCGCCCGCACCTGCAGCACGACGGAGTTGATGACGTCAGCGTATTTAATGGCGAGGTTGAGCGACATGGAGCGAGCAGGCGCCATGCAGAAGCACCGCAGGCGGCGCAGGCTGAACCCCACGCGCTCCCTGCTCGCGTGCAGAATCACCGTCGCCATGGCCACCACGCCGCTGCCCAGCGAGTGGCCCGTGAGCGTGAGCGTGTAGGCGGGGTGGCAGCGCGCGAGCATGGTGAGAACGGGCATTTCCTGGTCCAACAGCCACGCCGCTGCTTTCAGCATGCCCGTGTGCACGAACCCCCCGTCCAGGCGCTGCCAGGCGAGGAGGGAGATGGGGAGGGGGAGGGGGAAGGGGATGGGAAGGGGAAGGGAAGGGGAAGGGGAAGGGGAAGGGGAAGGGGAAGGGAAAGGGGAGGGGAAGGGGAAGGGAAGGGGAAGGGGAAGGGGAAGGGGAAGGGGAAGGGAAAGGGGAGGGGAAGGGGAGGGGAAGGGAAGGGGGATGGGGAGGGACGGTACGTTTGAGTTGAATTGCTGTCGCGCGGCGGGGGAGTGGGAATGAAACAATTGCGTGTCAGATAGTGGAGTGCACGGTTGAGAGCACGGGTTGAGAGCACGGGTTGAGAGCACGGGTTGAGAGCACGGGTTGAGAGCACGGGTTGCAAGGGAGATGAGGCAAGGTGGAGACGACGGGTTGAAGGAGCATTGCAGTGCGGATGGAAGGGATGAGGGGAGGAGAGGGGAAGGGGGGGAGGGGAGGAGGAGAGGCAAGGCGAGGGGCAGGTGAAGGAGGAGGGAGGTGGGACCGTTGAAGAACGCTCCATAGTCCCACCAGCAACAAGCCATGCACCCACGCCTCTCCCCCCTTCCGTTCTCGTACTGCACCGCACTGCACCGCTCACCTCCGAGCCCTTCTTCTGGTCCAGCAGGATCTCATAATCCTTGATCTGCGAGCTCTTTAATCCGCGCACTGCCAGGCAGATGTCGCGCGCCTCGTGGTCCACGTAGATCATGTACGGCGGGCACCGCCCCTTAGTATCCTCGTAGTTCGCGCGCCGCACCACGAAGTCCTCGTTTATGAGCCCTCTAAAGTACGGCTCCGCGCGCCGCATTTTGTAGACGGCGCTGAGGAGGTGGCAGAGGCGAGGCACGTCTTGGAACTCGGCACGCGTGGCGAGCGGCCATTGGGCGCTGGTTGCTTCGCTAGAGCGCGTGCAGCGACGGTAGGTCCAGAGGATGCAGCAGCAGGGACAGCAGAAGATCAGCGGTAGTTGCGGGAACATCGACATGGTAACTAGATAGAGGACTCCTGATTACTATAACCTGTCTGCGAGGGGCAATGTCGGTACGACGGCTGATTGCTGACTGTGCGAGTCGGAATTGCTCATAGCTTGAAGAAGCATCTATATTTTCGTCCTGTGGCTGCTGCGGCAGGACGTACTAACTAGCTGTCCCACCCACAATACTAAAATAGGAGCGCTTCCCGTTTTGGTGGAAGGGTGGAGGAGGGGGACACAAAACAGGTGTGCAACGGGGGGCACCCACCCACGTGATGCCATCATGTCGTGATGCGATGCAACGTGCTTTTTAGCGCGGGGATAAATCCAATTGGTGAGCGATCCATGAGCAAAACAAAGAACAACATAAGGGATGTTCCGAGAACTGAACTTGGGACCTCTCGCACCCTAAGCGAAAATCATGCCACTAGACCAAACACCCTCGGCATTAAGAATCCTGTGTAATATCATTTTAAAATCACTGGTTTTTTGCAGACCACTTACCTTGGGATGAACTATTGAGGAAACAGCTCGTCCTGATCGCCATACCTTTAGAGGCTCATATGATTCTCGAAAGCATCGGCTGGGCCTCGCCGCCGGGCTATAAAAGCCGCAATGGCTCCTTCCCTCAAACACCACACCACCACTTCAGCTATTCAATCGCGCTTCACCAGCGTCTCCCTCATCGTGCTTCGAGTTCCAGCACCGTGGTTAACTCATGGCTATCTGCGCGACTCCTCTCGGACGTACCTTGCTTGTTCTGGGTCTCGCTCTGCTCGGCCTATCCTGGCCATTCATCGCGGCATCGAGGCGCGTGCTCCCGGAGTCATCAACTGCAGCCAGCACGTCGAACCTGTTCGGCGGTCTTTTCTCCTTCAGCTCTATGCAGAATCTGGACGTTACCGATGGCGGTGCCATCTCCCTCACGCTAGACCGCGTTGGAGGTAAGTGTTTTTGAAAACAAGAGTTTAATTAGGCAGAGAAAATTCCGTGTGCATGTGCCTGAATTCGCGAGCTTTGAAGCGAGCAGCTCTAACAGCGCGCCTCATTCTGATGCTGTGCAGGGGCGGGGTTTGAGTCGCGACGGGCCTTTAGCTTCGGGACTTTCAGCGTGGACGCGAAGATGCCGCGAGGGTACTCTGCTGGAGTGTGCGCCACCTTCTTTGTACGACGCTCCCGCTGCACTCTGCTTAAGTCGAGCTCAGCTCAACGCGATCTTTGCTTGCGCAGTGGCATGTGCCTGAGCCATGCAAGGCCCAGAGTTTCAACATGGTTGCATGTTAAACATGGGTTGGGAGGGGCCTTTTCCGATGTGCCCAGCCTCTCGCAACACTTCGGGTTTTTCCCGCTGCGTCAGCAAACTTGCTGGGCCAACGCTTGTTTGGAACCGAGATGTCCCAAATTGCAGTGAAATGAATCTTTGAAGTGTCTGCTCTACAAGCGAGTCCCTAACTCTTCATGCATGTCGTCGTTTCCGTCCATCCATCTGCATGCAGCTGCAATCAGGCGACTATGATCATCGCAACGAGTGGGACTTTGAGTTCCTGGGGTCGCCCAACAACTCACGAGGCATGACGCTGCAGACCAACGTGTTTATGAACGGCCAGGGCGACCAGGAGGTGCTCACTGCCTTTGCCTTCGACCCTGCTGCTGTCTTCCACACGTACACCATTCAGTGGGGCCCGCAGCGGACCGTGTGAGTGCCCCTTTCCGCCGCAGTGCTCAGAGAACTTGCTGTCTGCGTTCTTTCTATTTTCCATGCTTCACCTGCCAATTATAATTAAAATAGCCTCCCTGAGCTTCACCTGAACATTTGATTGTCAAATAATCAACCTGTCTGCACATGGTGGTGGCAGTTGGCTGGTGGACGGAGTGAACATCCGCACGGTGAGCAACAGCAGCCCGCACTACCCCAAGGACCCCATGAAGGTCTACTTCAGCATCTGGGACGCCTCCCCCTGGGCCACCGGGCCCCGCACCGCCCGCATCCCCGTCAACTATGACTACGCGGTAAGCGTACCCCTTAATTTTGTTCCTGGGATGGCACTTATTGCATTTGTCATAATGTATTTATGAGTGTGTTCCTGATTCTGCAGCCTTTTACCGTGACGTTCAAGAACTTCAAGTACACCCCGCTGTCTGCAAATTGATGGGACCGATGCTAGTTGGATGGAACTTTAAGTGAGGCAGGGAGGGACGGTGCGACCCAGTCAATGTGCCTGCGATGGAGAGTTCTTTCTTGTTACTTCGTGCAGTCATCCCTGGGTTGGGTGGGAAAGTTTTGTAGCAAATGTTTGTCTGTATGGCTTGTTATAATGGGATAGTGACCTCACAAATCTGTTCTTGTAATAACAGGCGTCAACATCAATGGGTGAGGCTTGGTCCAACACTACTAAAAGGGACCACTAAGCAAGTGAAGTCACACTGACTAAACGTAGTAGGATTTGATGTGCACCAAACGGCATTTTCTGCACATGAACAACGTGACTACCCTTGTCCACAAAAATGTCCTTCATTTGGTGCCCAGCCCAGAGACGGGGTATCATACGGTAGTCTGTGCAGATGGATATCCAGCTGTGTAAACATACTCTTGAGACAGTTAATAACCTGGAAAGATGATGGCAAATCCACGAATCCTTACTTATATCGCGAACGCGCTCATTTTCGCTGGCATTCAACCACATGGGGAAACCCAGCTGCACCCAGCCATCCGCGCAGAAAGGGGCCAAGCGGGGAACATGAGGCATGGCATGTCACGCGGGTAGCAACCCCATGCCATCCTCGCTTCTTTATGCATGTAAGGAATTTTCTCGATATTCCTTAGCGCACCCTGCAACATCGCGTACAGCAGCAGCCGTTGTTCGCCCGTTACTGCTAACGGAGCTTCGCCGACTTCGCGCGCACTGTTTCACCAAACCTCGCACTGCTGGCCTGGCCGTGTCGGCCTACGCTTCGGGACTAGCCCGAGCCTCGCTTCCAGCGTAGCATTAGCTAGCTCGCACGCACCCGGTTACCGTTTGCATGTTTAGCGTAAAAATGTTCGCTCATGCCTTCGCTCACATTTTGTACTCGTTTGACACCTTAGTGCAATTCTCGCTACTTCGATTCATTGCACCCGTAACAATGCCCCAAGCGTGAGTCGAAACTTAGAACTCTGCAAGCCCTACGCCGCAGAGAGCACGTGGCAGCCTCCGCCTCTTTCTTGGCTCCTACTCGTTCTCGCGAGTGGCTAGGTGGAGTCGCGATGAGGCATCTCCCGCGTTCGCAAGCCCAATGCCGCGCATCGCACCCGTTGCGCATGCCAGCCGCGCTACTGCTCTCCGCCCTGCTTCTTCTATTGCTACCAATGCTGCCTCGCAGCTATGCTGAATTCGGAACCAAGCCTGCTGCCGAGCCTGACACGTTGTTAGGTTCGGTGGACCCGCGTGAGGTCGTCGAAATCATCGCCGACTCACTGAACGATCTCGCCGCCGCCGTGAATTCCGGGGATGCGTGCGGCATTCTGGACTTCTTTCCCGAAACTTCGTCAATCCTTCCTCCTCATTCCCCGGAGCTGCTTCTCAACGCGAGCGCGCTGCGACTTAGCCTTGTGCAGCAGCTGCTGGCGCTGGTCATTAGAATGCGCTTTAATGTCCTCGAGGCCTGGGTGGGCAAAGGCGACCCGGGGAGAGTCAGAGACGCGATCCGGATACTAGGAACGCGAGGAGATCCGGCGACAGGGGCAGGGACAGCGACAGCGCAACAGCAGCAGCATAGGGGGGAGGAGACAGAGGAGGAGGAAGAAGACGAAGAGGTGGAAGAAGAGGAGGGCGCGGAGGGCAGTGGGGCGGGTGGGGACGGCGCGGGTTTGCTGCGAGGCGGTGACCTGTTCGCCGTGGCTCGCATTGCATTCACTGCAAACTGCCTTGGCGCGACTCGGCGGAGCGGCCAAATGGAGCAAGGAGGAGAGCTAACGTCAGACGGCGAGGAGGTCGAGAAACTACGCGAGGAAGCTTCCGTGAGCGAATCAACGTGCGTGGACGGGTCCATTCTGGCCACGTGGCACAGATCTGCTGAGCTGGCACGCAGCGGGGGTAAGGCGACGAGCCCTGAGAGCAGGGGTTCTGAGTGTCGTTCACGAGGGGCACGCAATGACCACTCCAAGGTGTGGCGCTTGCACTGGGCTGCCTGGAACCACGCCAACCGCACCTGCCAGAACCGCGGAGCACCGCATCACACCACGTGGGGCAATGCGGAGGGGTTGGTGCAGGCGGGCAGTGTGGGGGTTGCTAGCAGGAAGGGTGCGCGGCAGCTGCTGGTGACGCCACAAGCCACCGCTTGGCTCACTGCTGTGCCCGCTGATGTCAGCAGTGAGGGGAGCGACGTGAGCAGCAGTACGGTGCAGGTACAGGAGAGTGACGGGGCGGGCAGGGGGAGTGGCCGTGAGGCGGTGGGAGGGGGGTGTGCGCAGTGGAAGGTGGAAGCAGCACTGGCAGCGCTCACAGTGGCACTGTTGAACGGCAATGCCACTGCCGCTGCACAGATATTCGCCCCCGGTGCCGTGCTCTTCCCCCCGGCCTCCCTGCCCCTAACTCTGCACACGGCTGCACAGGCAGCAGCGTGGCTGCTGCCAATCACAGGCCGCCGCCTCATCTTCCAGCCCCAGCTGGAGGAGCTGCTCGTGCTGCAGGCTGCCACGTGGCATGCTCTAGAGGGTGACACGTGGCAGGCTTTAGGGGTGGACACGTGGCATGGGAGCAGAGTGGGGTCATCGCCGTACGTGGTGGTGACACGGGGCGTTTACAGGCTGTGGGAACTCAACGGTACGTTGCCCTAACCTGCTTGCTCCCTGCTGCTTTGGCTTGTGCTCACCTCCATTGCCAGGGACTTTTCTCCTTGCCTGCCCTGCTTGCTTCATTCGCAGCTTCAAGCAATTGTGGATGTGCAAGCGTCCCTTCTTGTGTGAGTGGCGACTATCTTGTGAATGCCAGCTTGTGCCCATGCGTGTGTGCATGGCGTGGCATGGGTGCAGGGCTTTTTGAGGGGCAGGGCAAGTTTGTGCTGCTGTGGGAGAGCAGCAGCGAGGACCACACCAGTGCAGGGCAGCCAAGGCAAGGCACAGAGGGACAGGGGCATGTAGGTTCGAATGCAGGAGCGTCAGCTTCGCCAATGACGGAGCCATACTGCTCCTCCTTCCGTGTCACCAGAGCCCTCTGGAACTCCGACATCCCTGCCGTCCCCCCCGCCCCCTCCCCCGCTTCCCCTCCCTCCCCGCCCTCCCCACCCTTCCCCCCCGCCCCTGCCTCCCCTCCTCCGCCTCCCCTTTCCCCTCCCCCACCCCCGGGCCCCAAGCGCCCTCCCCCTCCTCCTCGTGCTCCTGGCAAGTCCCCCCCACCGCCGCCCACGGCTCGCCCCCCTCCCCCTCGCCGCCGCTCCCCTCCCCCCCCTCCACGGCCGTGAGCAGCTGCGGGGGTACTGAGGAGAGCAGTGTACGGAGTGAAAGAGAAAGAGCACAGAGAAGGCTGCAAGAAGTGGGCGGAGGTGAAAGAGAAGCGTGTGTGGCAGTAGTCGTATCAGCATGGTGACTGCTGGTCTGTCTGTGCAAGACATGGTAGTTGCTGCTGCAAGCACCAAGCTTGTGGACTCAAGGCATTGATATACCGTGTCAGTAGCAGATCCTTTTCCCAGGGAAAGCAGGGGTATTCTGGACGTTTATTCAGTTGCTAAGAGGCGCATATTGGCCTGCTTATGTACCATAGTGGGAACAGGGCTCTTGCTAGGATTTAAGCCCGTCTGAAAAGTATATACCAAAAAAAGGTTTCGTCTGACGTTCAGACGGGGAATTTTTTTCTGGTCTGGTTTTTAAGACGAAGGAAAAAGCCTTGTCTGAAATTTCAGATGAAATAATAGTGGTCTGTTTTTGTTTTTTCAAATTGTGTTCTGTTTTACTTGTATCAGACAGAGCGACACAACCTAAATAGGTTTGGTGTTAGGCCCGACGGCCTAAGTCCGCTAAAGAATTAGCGGGGTCGACTAAGTCGAGGATGAAACGCGGCGGAAGACTTTGGCGAAAAAACTATTGGCGAAATAGGCGAAGAAGTTACTGAGTAATTGAAGAAGAGTTGAATGAGAATTGATTGATAATGGCAAGTACAAGCAAGGTTTATATAGCATGCAAGAAACAAGGTTGGAAAGTGGAATGTGGGACCAAGAATTGGAGTGCAAGAAAAGTAGAGTGCCACGTGGCACTAGAGAATCTGAGAAGATAAGGATAATGGTGACTAGGAATGTACTGTTCGGAATGAACAGTAAACACCCCTCTAACACTACCCCCCGCCCAAGGAGGCGACGTCCGCGGCGCCTGCAGACTGAAGGTACGCTTGGAGGCAAGCGTTGTCAGGAGACAGCGAGGACGAAGGAACCCAGCTGTCGTCTGCTGCGTCGTAACCACGCCAACGAACCAAGAAGTCGATGAAAGTGACACCCCCCTGGAGACGGCGACGGTGCCTGAGGATGCGCTGGATCTGGTAGTCGGGCTCGTCGGTGTCAACAGCTACCGGCAGTGGAGTGCGATCACGGCCCGAGAAGGTGGCATTGGGATCGGTGTATGGGCGAAGGAGAGACACGTGGAATGACGGGTGCATGCGGAAATGTGCGGGAAGGCGAAGGCGGTATGCGACTGGACCTAGTGTGCGCTCAATGACGAATGGACCAATGAAACGTGGACGAAGCTTGCTGTCCTGTGGCAGTCGGAGGTTGCGGCTATCCAAGAGAACACGGTCGCCGACTGCGAACGACACCTCACGACGACTGCGGTTGGTGGTGCGTGCCATGCGTGCATTTGCGAGCTCAAGGTGCTTCCTCACGTGATCATGAATGAAGGTGAGATGCTGGTGGAAGTTGTCCGCACGAGGGACTGTGGGTGTGAGATCGACACGAGTGGGGACATTGGGGTGCTGACCGTAAAGTGCAAAGAACGGTGACATGCCTGTGGCGGAGTGGTGCGTGTTGTTGTAGGCGAACTCTGCCATGCTCAGCTTCTTGTCCCATGCGGCTGCGTCGTGCATCGTGATGCTGCGAAGGATCTGCTCCAAGGTCTGGTTCACACGCTCGGTCTGTCCGTCTGTCTCTGGGTGGTACGCAGACGACATGGCTAAGCGAGTCCCAAACAGTGCGAAAAGCTGCTTCCAGAACTTCGAAGTGAAACGAGGGTCGCGGTCTGAGATGATGGAATCTGGAACCCCGTGCAGTCGGACTACGTTATCTACGAACAGCGTCGCGGCTTCCTCTGCTGTGACCTTGCCGTGCGTGGGGATGAAATGCGCTGCTCGAGAAAACTTATCCACTACTACGAAGATGGCGTCGTGACCCCTAACTGTGCGCGGTAAAGCCATGATGAAGTCCATGGTAACTACCTGCCAAGGGCGGTCGGGCGGTGGAATCGGCTGCAAGAGTCCTGCTTTGCGCTGGCGAGAGGACTTCGTACGCTGACACGTGTCGCACGAGCGAATGTAATCCTCTACGTCTGCTGCAAGCCCGGGCCAGTAGTACGTGCGACTAAGCGTCTTAGCCGTCTTATCTGCTCCGAAGTGCCCTGCACTAACTACGTCGTGCGCCTCTGAGAGAAGGAGCTGTCGAAGAGGGCGGTAGGCTGGAACCCAAATCCGTGTGGTACCCTTCCGTATGTAGACACTACCCTGCACCTCTGCTCCTGCGGGCGGCTGCGGTGTGAAGTCGGGATCTACTGTGTAACCGTGCTCGAAGAGTGCTGTGAGAAGTGGGTGGCAAGCAGTGACTGTGAGACTGGCGAGTTGACAACTAGGGCGAGTGAGCGGATCTGCTGGGTTGCGCACGCCTGGCTTGTACTCTATCCTGTAGTGAAAGCTCCCTTCCATGAACTCCATCCACCTAGCCTGGCGACGACTCAGCTGCGGCTGCGACTTGAGGAAACGAAGCGAACAGTGGTCCGTGCGTATAACACTATCTGCCCCCTCTAGGTAGCACCTCCACACCTTATACGCATGGATGATCGCGAGCGCCTCCTTGTCGTGTATGGGATAGTTCAACTCCGCTCCCCTAAGCTTACGCGACTCGTACGCGATCGGCTGCAACCCGCGTCCCTGGTCCTGAAGAAGCACTGCTCCTATGGCCTGATCGGAAACGTCGGTCACTACAACGTATGGGCGAGTGGGATCAGGGTACGACAGTGTCGGTGAGGACGTGAGCGACTGCTTCATCTGCTCGAACGCCTGCTGCTGCGCTGGACCCCAAACGTATTCTACGCCCTTCCGAAGTAGGTCGGTGAGTGGACTAGCGATCGATGCGTAACCCTGAACGAAACGACGGTAGTAGTTCGCGAAACCGAGGAATCTCTGCAACTCCTTGACTGAGGTCGGTGCTACCCAATCCTGTACTGCTGCGATCTTCTTCGGGTCAGTCCTAATGCCACTAGCGGATACGACGTGTCCTAGGAACTCGACCTCTGGAAGGAAGAACTCGCACTTCGACTGCTTAGCGTATAACTGCTCCCTCCGTAAGACCTCGAAGACCTTCTGCAAGTGCTGCACGTGCTCATCTTTCGTCTTAGAGAACACTAGGATGTCGTCTAGGTAAACGACAACGAACGACCCTAGGAACTCGGAGAGGACTGTGTTCATGAGCGTCTGAAACGTCGCTGGGGCGTTGGTCAATCCGAACGGTAGAACCCTAAACTCGTACAACCCCTGCTTCGTACGAAACGCCGTCTTGTGCTGGTCCTCTGGAACTACTCGAATCTGGTGGTAACCCGATCGAAGGTCGATCTTTGAGAAGACTCTAGCGCCCTGCACTGCATCGAGAAGATCCTCTACTCTCGGCACCGGGAATCTATTCTTGACGGTGGCGGCGTTCAGTGCGCGGTAATCTATGCACATCCGTAACCCTCCGTCTTTCTTGGGTGCGAAAAGTATCGGTGCGGCCCAAGGCGATCTAGATGGCTGTATGAAACCCTGTGCGAGAAAGTGCCTAACTTGCTGCGTCATCTCCTCTGTCTCCGCTGGACTCAACCTCCACTGCGGCTTCGCTACTGGCCTGCTCCCCGGCTCCAATTCTATTCGATGGTCTACTGCTCGGCTGGGAGGCAACCCTGGGGGCAACTCGTCGGGGAAGACGTCTGCGAACTCTGCTAACAGTGCACTCACCTCAGCAGGAAGAGTCGCCTTCTCACTAACTGCTGCACTCCCTCCTTTCCCCTCCTCAGCTTCCACCTCCTCAAGAAAAACCGCGAAGATCCGTGCCGCACGCTTCACTAACTGTCGCACACGAACAACATTAATGATAGCTGTGGATGATGTGGCCCCATCGCTCCACTGTGGCAGCTCCCGGAACTCCCCGTCTACCTTGACGCTGCAGCTTCCCTGAGCCCAATCGAACTGAGTACTAACCGTCCGTAGCCAATCTCTCCCGAAGATAAAATCGTATCCGTCCAGCGTCGCAGAGTCGAAATCACGCCTGACTGTGATCGGTCCTAGCACTACGCGCAACTTGCGGATGATCGGTCCTATGTGAAGTGGCGTCCCATCTACCATGCGAGCGTCCTTGAAGTTGACTGCTGAATCTGCTTCGAGATGGAGACGAGAAACTAACGATGAAGAGACGAACGAGTGGCTAGCTCCGCTATCTATGAGAATCTTAACAGGAACTCCGCGAAGCTTCCCTAGAAGCACGACTGGACGATCAACAGTGTCTACCTCGTTCTCCGTAGATGACTGCTGCAAAGCCGTCTCCTCTACGTTGGTAGACGTGGCGGGTACGGGAACCTCCACACCAGCTAGCGACCCGCTATCTACTGGCGGTTTCCGTTTCCCTGCTGCCGCTCCTTAAGCTGTGGGCAGTCTCGCTTCATGTGTCCCGGCTTTTTGCAGTAGTGACAGTTCCCCCTAAATCCCATTTTCTGTGAGCCGTCACTGTTAACTGCACCAATCTCCATGGGCGATGGTCCGTCCCTCGATCGAGCGTCGTTGATCGGTCTGTTGTATCCCCTATCGCGATCGTCACGACCCCGTCGGCTTCGTACTGCGTCGACGCGTTCTGCTGCTGCGACTACCGACTCGAAGGTGGACAACCCGTGAATCGCAATGACTTCCGCTATGTCCGGCTTCAACCCTTCGAGGTAGCGATCGCGCATCTCTGCTTCCGTGATATCGTCTATCTCGTTGCAGATGCTCAAGAACCGTCGTGTGTACTCCTGGACGTTGCCTATCTGTCGGAAATGACGCAGACGCTTCCTAGCAGCTTCGGAGGCGTTCACCAAATCGAACCTACTTTTCAGCGCCGCTTCAAATCCTTCCCATGTGGTCGGAACCGTGGTAACACCCAAAGCTAAACTCCCTAAGCTCGAAGTTGCAGCTGCATGCCCCACGCCCTGTTGATGCCCGTCCGTCTGAGCCCTTCTTACAGCAGTTTGAGTGAGTTGGCGCCACCACTCCAAGGCCGGGCCCCTCAGCAGTGTGACAGCGTACTCGATCCGCTGCTGCGCGTCCGCCTCTTGCACCCCGCTCGCGGCGAAGTAGTTGTTCAGCATGAAGAGCCACGTCCGCACGTTCGCGTCGCGTTGACTTGGGTCGAACGACTCGGTTTTCTGCGGCTTGAGTGCGCTTCGACGTTCCGGCAGCGCTTCCGCGCCAGTCGACGTGTTGGGCGCAAGAGTTGGTGTGGCATGACCATGGGGGTTAGAAGCCAATTCACGAAGCTGTTGCATTTCAGCTCGTACCTGTCGATTTTCCAGCGTCAACTCTTGAAGTTGGCGCATGAGTTCGGCAAGCGTGTTGCCCATGTCGTGGGGGACTGCGTGCATGGTTTCGTCCATGTTCGCTCAACGACTCCAAGTCTGCAAGTCGGCACCGCGGGACGATGACGTCGTAGTCTCGTCGTCGACGGTCGCTCGTTGGAAGTCGCTCCCCGCGAAGGCTCTGATACCAAGTGTTAGGCCCGACGGCCTAAGTCCGCTAAAGAATTAGCGGGGTCGACTAAGTCGAGGATGAAACGCGGCGGAAGACTTTGGCGAAAAAACTATTGGCGAAATAGGCGAAGAAGTTACTGAGTAATTGAAGAAGAGTTGAATGAGAATTGATTGATAATGGCAAGTACAAGCAAGGTTTATATAGCATGCAAGAAACAAGGTTGGAAAGTGGAATGTGGGACCAAGAATTGGAGTGCAAGAAAAGTAGAGTGCCACGTGGCACTAGAGAATCTGAGAAGATAAGGATAATGGTGACTAGGAATGTACTGTTCGGAATGAACAGTAAACACCCCTTTAACATTTGGGCTGCGACGCGCGAGAGCGGGTATGGGGCAGTGGGGCAGGTGTTGGCCTGCGAGAGACAGGGGAGTGGGGGGTTTGGGCTACGTACGAGACGGACAGGGGGGGAAGGGGCACGTGTGCTGATTTAGGAGATTGTGGCGGGGCGGGAGGGAATTCGAGGTAGTGGGGAGGAGCGAGGGAATTCGGGTCTTGGGAGGCTAAAGCGCGTGGGGGGTAGGGGGAAGAGGGAAGCACTCGGTACTTCGTTGTCAGACGAAAACGTACGCAATATCTGATTTCTCAGATGAAGTATAACCCGAGTATGATTTTCCAGACGAAATAAAAATTTTGGTCGTATGGATCAGAAGAACTAAAATTGCTTGTCTTCAAAACCAGATGAAATAGAAAAAAGTAGGTCTGATTTTCAGACCATCAGACCAATTTGGTCTGATAACAAGGACCCTGAGTGGGAAGCTGAGCATTGAAGAAGAGGCGCATATTCGCCTGATTCTGTGCCCCGTGTGCATTTCCAAGTCAGCGCATCTCAGATTGGTGTGTGAGAGACCGAGTCACTGAGAGCTCTGTGTGTGTGAGGAGTGCATGAACGTGCATGGTCATGATCAAGCAAGCGCCTGCTACCGGTATACAAGCCACAATCCCACCCCACTAAATGGTAGTGGCTCTGCAGGCACCATTGGAGGAAGCTTGGCTTGCCGGCATTTATTTCATAAACTCCGTGCATCAGCTCGTACACTACTGTCAAGATATGTAGCTAGGGTGTAGCCTTAGGAGCCATGTTGGGGGTAGAGTGTGAGAGAGTTGGCAATGAAAGAGGGCTTCACTATAGAGCTAAGGGTACAAATATGATAGGAAAGGGGGTAATCCACCAAACAGAATGTGATAACTACACTATTGCTATATCTACATGCAGTTACAATAATATAACTCTGACATCCCCCCTTAACTGCATGCAGGAATAGCAAAGCATAAATCACAACCCGCAAGTGTACTGAAAGCATTAGCACGCAAGAGCAATGACAACCAGTGCAGCAGTGGCAGAAACAACAGCAGAAACCCCTTAGCCAATACAGAAACGAAAGAAAGGTGCATGTGGCGCAGGTCGCCTGGAGAGCGGCGTGCGGCGGCAACAAGCGGCGGCACAGCAGGCTCAACGGCAGCACCTGCCGCTCAACAGCAGCAAACGAAAGAGACGAATTAAGTGGCAACAGGGGCTGCAGCTGGAGGTGCCACAGGAGCAGGGGGTGGCAGTTGCAAATGCAGGGCTGCTGCTTCTGCCACTCTCTCTCATACCCTCCTTTATCCCCCCTTACCCTCTCTCCCCCCCCCTCCCCTCAGCAACAATTGCTGCAGGGAGAGAGGAAGAGGGAAGGGAGGGAGGAGCGGCAGGCTCCTCACACCCGCCCCCTCCCCCCAACCCCCCCCCCCACGACGGAAGGGAAGGGCGGAATCACCCACTGCCGGCGCTGGCGGTCGCGTTGGCGCTAGCGCTGGCGGCCGTCGCAGCTGCTGGCGGTGGCGCTGGCGGTCCGCGCAGGCGCTGGCGCTCGCGGCTGGCTGCAGCGTTGGCGCTCGCGGCTGGCCGTGGCGCTGGCGTCCGCGCTGGCGAAGGCGGATCGCGGGGCGACGGGGGGAGCGTGACGGACGAAAAGGGCGCACGGGCGCGACGCGAAACGAAGGGCCTGCAGAAAGCGAAAAACGGGACCCGCGGGGTTCGTCCACGGGGCGATTCGGGGGACCCGCGGGGCGCATTACGGGCGGCACGACGGGTGGGCCCATGATCATTAAAAAAAAATAGGTCCTCAGGAGGGATTCCTGCTCTGTACCATGTCAAGATATGTAGCTAGGGTGTAGCCTTAGGAGCCATGTTGGGGGTAGAGTGTGAGAGAGTTGGCAATGAAAGAGGGCTTCACTATAGAGCTAAGGGTACAAATATGATAGGAAAGGGGGTAATCCACCAAACAGAATGTGATAACTACACTACTGCTATATCTACATGCAGTTACAATAATATAACTCTGACAACTACACACAACTCCACCAATGAGCGTGGTTGAACCAGCCTTCACATGGCATGACCACAGGCAAGCCCCACACAATTCTACGATAATTACACGCACAGCAGCATTCGCCGTCTTGCTTTCTAGATTCACGGTCACAGGGCACCCCATCCTCTTGGCTACCATGCAAGTGCAGCGATGCTGGCATGCACATGGTGAGGCAACAGCCCCACCGACCCAACCGTCACACAACCCCCTCCTCTGTGCTCCCCTGCAAGTGCAGCGATGGTACTAGTGTGCACATCCCCACGGTAGCGAACACCACGCACCACAGCTCCTCCTCTACCCTGTGAATGCAGCGATGGTGGACTGCACGCAGTCGGCAGGCAGCCCCACAGTATCTATCGCCACGCGCCACAGCTCCTCTGCTGCCCTCTCGTTGCGCCCGTGCGCTGCCACCTCACTGCGCCGCCCGTCGAGGTCAAAGTAGGGCCCGGACAGCAAGCCTTGGTCGCGCACCGCCCTCGCGTGCTCGCCCACGGCCGCGTGTGTGGCGCAGTACAGGGGCGCCAGCGCACCTGGGGGGCAGTAGACGGGGTTGTGGGGAGGGTTGGGGTGAAATGGAAGGGGATTTAATTTATTCAAGGAGGTGTAGTTTCTGGAAGTTTGAGGCAAGGAGGAAAGGACGAGAGGAAGAGGACAGGATGGAGGTTAGGAGGGACGGAGTGGCAGAGGCAGAGAACTGTGCATGTCTACAATAATCAGCGTGTCGCACAAGGGATATTGATCCATCCCCACTGCATGCATGCACGCACGCAGATTGACATGCGTGGGGTACAGAGGGTGGGTGGGTGGGCATACCCTGCCAGGGTTCAAGAAGCAGGGCGTGCATGATGGCACGTTGCAGCTCCTGGATGATCTTGGGGAGAGTGCGCGCCTGCATGGGGTCACAGGGAGGAGTGGGGGAAGAAGTTGTATTTTGACTTGACTCAAAGTTGTATTTTGACTTGACTCAAAGTACACCCGAAGCAGGGCACGGCGTGCATGACAGCACGTTGCAGCTCCTGGATGAACCTGGGGAGAGTGCGCGCCTGCATGGGGTCACGGGCAGGAGGGGAACGAGCGATAGAATAGCGCTGCCACTCTGGGAATACGAGCGTTGCAGCTGGCGAACCATTTAGAGTACAGAGGGAAAAAGGTGGGGTGCATACATTGCTGTGTGCAGCAGATCGAGTGTGACAAGGGGCGATGAGTCTCAGCACGTTGGTGAGCACCTCCCCTTGAAGAAAGTAATGGACGATCCACAGCAAGCCTCCTAGCAGAGGAAAGGTAGCGAGAGCTACAGAAAAGGCATGGACGATTCAAAACTAAAACTAACCCAAAACAGAGGAAAGGTAGCGAAAACGAGGAAACTTGTGAGAATGCTAGACAAAATGTGTGGGTGTGTGAGAGTGAGGGTGCAGTGCAGGTGACTGACCACGTTGGTGAGCACCTCCCCCGGGTGCACTGCCACCACATCAATGTGCGCACTGGCTGGCAAACGACGCTGCAGCACGTTCGTCAGCATCAGCTGAGGCAGGGCACGCAGGGGAGCCGGGTGGGGTGAGGTGAGACACGGTGCGGGAGAGAGGAGGAGAAACGGGAGGGGGGATGGGATTGGGGAAGGGTGGGTTGAACAAAGTGCAATGGCAGATAGGAAGTAAGATATAGAAGCAAGCAGCAAGCTGCAGGAGTGAAGTGAACTGGTGCAGAGGTTACGAGGTTAGGCGGGAGGCAGCAGGAGTACATGGCAGGAAGGGAGGGAGCGCACCTGAGCGAGCTTGCTCTGGTTGTAGGCCGCGGTGGCATTGAAGCGGCGGGTGCGCCCCTTGAAGCTCAAATCGCCCACGTCCAGATCGCCCCATGCATGCATCTGAGGGGGCAAGTGGGGAAGAAGAGCAGAGAAACAGGTGAGACGGTGCCTTTCCACTGGGACAGATTTACTCTATATTGGGAAATGCCTAGCACTGGTCACCAGGGGGGTGGGTGGCATGTCACATGTGACACATCAGAGGGGGAAGGAAGGTAGTAGGCACTGTGCTCTCGTGCAGGGAATGAGGAGCGCTGCTCCCTTGGAGACTCACAGCGGACGACACGTTCACGATGCGAGCGCCGTGGGCGCGCAGCAGGGACGGCAGCAGCAGCAGTGAGAGCAGCAGCGGGCACAGGCAGTTCACCGCTATGTGCTCCTCCACCCCGTCCGCCGTCAGCCGCTGGGGCGCTGGAGGGGGGAATGGAAGAGATAAGAAAGTAGGGACAAGAGGTGCGGTGAGGAGGGAGGAGGGTGGAGCAGGATACAAGTTCAGGTCGCGTGTATCGACGCACCCTGCCAGGTCAACAAGCAACGGCGGCGAGGCACGGCCCTCGGCGGGCGCACCTCCCATGGAGAAAATGCCCGCATTGTTCACGAGCACGTGCAGCGGACGCGCCTCCGCCTCCCACGCGCGCGCGAACGCGCGCACTGACGCGAGCGACTCGAGGTCCACCTGGCGCACCTCCGCGCTCACGCCTGCGCCACCCGCCTCGCCCTGCCACGCCGCGATCAGCTTGCTGGCGGCGTCCGGCCGCCGGCACGCCAGCACGACGTGCGCGCCCGCTAAGACTAGCTGCCTGCGGAACGGGTGGGGGAGCGCAGCGGAAGCAGGCGAGGGGAGGGATTCAGCTGGCAGTTGCGAGGACGAGTGGCTGCGGGGCCCGCAGGATCCGGCAGGATTCGCACGTGCTCACTTGGCGATCTCGAGGCCAATGCCGCTAGTGGGTCCCGTGACGATGACGGTCTTGCCGCGAATGCTGGGGTCGCACGCCCACTCTGCGATCCCCCGTCGCTTGATCATGCGTCGCTGTACGATGATCTCCCACACGATGCGAATACATGCGACGATCTGCTGCCATAGGCCGACCCTGATGCGCGCTAATGCCATGGCGACGCGACGACCCTCCCCTTACGAGATTATCTGGACAGAAAGAGGGGTGCTATGCCGTTCGTCACAAAATTCCTGGCCCCCAAAACATGCCCACAATCGTAGCATTCTTTCAGGTATCCTACGTGAGCTATGTTCGAACTGCTTCGAATCATGCAGGGAACTATGCTTCGAAGGTTGGGTTTCGGGGGAGGCGCCTGCATCAGACAAGTAACAACGTGTGGGGGTTTAAAGTCAGACCCGCTTCCCTCTAAAGTTTATTCACTTTGCAATTGTTGATATTGTTTTGTTCATTTGCACCAGCAACTAGGCCCAGCAGTTTGAGTACTGTAGCCAGACTTGTGTGCCATACCTAGGGTGGGTTCGGGAATGGTGTACAGTATCATCACCCCGACAAAACTGGCATTCCTTCAGTCCAGCGTGTTGCGACCAGGGCTATCGATTGGTTTGGAGCCAGAACTTGAGGGGCTGAGGTGCCCCAAAAGTTGCCCTGAAATTTCCGGGCTGAGAGCAAACCTGGCACTTGAAATCAGGGCTACCAACTTTTTTGCACTTAGCCAAGGATACCGGATCCTAGGCAAACTACTAAGAGCCAGCTAGCAATAGGCTGAGGTACGAAACATGTCGATGGATTTGAGGGGGATGGGAAAAGGTAGGGGAGTGGCTGGGGGGAGGTGGGGGGACTAGTGAGCGAATGGGAGGAAGGGAGGTATTAGTATGGGACGATAAGGACTAGCCGCGGGATCTGCACTTGAAATCCGGGTTAGGTCCACAACCAGCACTTTGCGGGAAAGGGCTGCCCTCAAAGCCAGCCTCTAGAATTAGGAATCTGGGCCAAACCCAACCCTTAATGTTCAGGGCATTAAGGGCATTTGCCCTTGAATCGTCAGCGCTGGTTGCGACGTCAACACACCACCCTCAGAGTCAGGAGCATCTGGTTACACGGCGATTTTGACCAGCGTAGCAAGACCATCACATGCTGCCGAAAACCAATGTTACAGCGTAGCATGTGCACAGTTTTCGGCACACGACGAAACATTTTTGTGCTCTGATCGTGGTTCTGTTCTTCTAAAACTCAATCCTGAGCTAGGCAGCTCCCCCGTCACCTCGAGCACCTATTTCAGGCTAGCAAATTCACTAGCGATTCAGGTTTTCTTGCTTCTTGATGCTTCATTCTGTAGCACTAGTTAATAGCCATGGCCCACCGCACCTATTAGCAAGAGCGCCGTTTAGCGTTGAACGTTTCCTTACTCTTTTTTTGGGTTGCGTAGCAACCCTTTATATTTGGTTTCACATTTTGGGGATATCATTTCATCTGTGATTTTCCATGCACTCTTTGGAGCAACTGTTTGAACTTTCTGGAACTGTGTTCAAACGGATGCCTCAAAGAATTAATAAAAGCCACTCTTGAATGATATCCCTAAATGTGAAACCAAATACTATGCACGTGCGTATCATGTTGAAACCATGAACTTGTTCGACCATCCCAGCATCGTCGATTAATATGGCGGATGGTACGGCCGAGCATAATATTATGGCTTCAACATGATTGTACAGATGAACAACAAAGTATGAAATGTGGGTGGATGCTACAAAGTGAATGTTAAAATGCATCATGCAACAACAGAGGTTGATGGGGTCGTTGAAACAGCGAAAACACGCTGCCCCAAAGACGATTAACAACCTCTAATTGCATACATGACACATACCGTATACTCCCGGACAAAACACCCCCCCATAATTGTACACCCCCGGATAGCTTGTGCGGGGTGGGTGTTATGATAGACCTCGTTTCTACTATACCCCCCTTTTTGGCTGATTTTCTATAACACCCCCCTTTTCTTACGGATTCATTATTATAGTCGTTAACGAGTAGCTGCAATGCGGAAGAATATCGTGTGAATTTCTCCCTCAATAAAATTTCGCGGTACATTCAAAGGCAATCTGCCGAGATTTGCCCCCTCCCACTATTTCTCTGTTGCCACGTGCAGGTGAATCTTCCGTTGCAAGTGGCAAAAGAGGTGCCACATGGCATTTTCGTGAGGGCAATGAAGTTCGAGGCCGAAACTCACATTCGCGCCTCAGGCAGTGATGCTAAAAGGACCAGCAAAACACCCACATTGACTAATTAAAAAAACAGTCACGTTAAATATGCCATATGTAAAGACCCGGGTACCGGTATTATGTATTTTTTTCCTATGAGGAGACCCCCCCCATTTTTTCCCTGTATTTTTGTGAAAATAGAAACGTGAATGAATGAACTATGAATGAAGTGAGTACAAATATGAAACCCTAATTGGGTTGTACCCCCTATGGGATACCCCACTATAGCCTACACAAATAAGTAAGCTATAATGTTCTGACACACCCCCATAGGCAAAGTGGGGGAGAACAAGGGGTCACAAGACCAGTCAGACAAAGCAAAGTAAAGCTCAGGGTGGATCACAAAGTCACCACACATTCCGAGCACAAGTTCAAGGGCCACAAGGCCAGTTCACATGCAAGATCATATATAGAGATATACAAGAGTCAAGCAAGCAAGAGCAAGAGTATATATAGGTGAAGGTACAATCAAGGTTAAGAAGTGAGCAAGTGAGGCAAGACAGACACAAGACCCAGCTGCGTGCAGCAACGCTGATGATCACAAGGCGCAAGTGCCTTGGTGAAGACATCAGCAGTGTTGGCCTCAGAGGCCACGTACGAAAGTCGCAACTGTCCACGCTGCTGTAGCTCACGAGCAAGAAAGTAGCGGAGAGCAATGTGCTTTGTCCTGTGCTCCAGTCGCTGCTCTCGACACAAGGCCAGCATGGCCTTGTTGTCTACGTATAGGACTGGAGGAGAACGAGGCGGCTCTCCAAGGTCGGTCAGCAGGTAGGTGAGCCAGCGAAGCTCGTGAGCAGCCATAGCCCCGGCGTAGATCTCAGCCTCACAACTGGAGCCAAGGACAGAAGACGAGCGGGTAGCCCGCCACGAAACAGAGCCGAAACCAAGGCTGAAGGTGTAACCCTGTGACAACCGCTGCGTAGCCTGGTCGTCAGCCCAAGAAGCGTCCGCGTGCCCAGTGAGGACCACTGGACTGCGCCCTCCAAGCACTAGCCCCATGCCCGACGTACTGCACAAGTAGCGCAACACCCTCTTCGCTGCAGCCATGTGCTCTGGTCGGTGTCTCCCAGGAGCAACATAGCGTGCGAGAATACTAAGAGGGTATGCAAGGTCAGGTCGTGTGCAGGTCATCAGGTACATGAGGCAGCCAACAAGCTCTGCATACAGACCACTCGACTCTACGAACTCATCCGAAGGCAGAGCTGAGAGCGAGTGGCGAGTAGGCAGAGGAGTGGCCTGAGGCGAGGAGTACGTGAAGCCGAAGCGCTGAAGGACCTGCTGCACCATGTGTGACTGAGTCAGGGTAATGGTGCGGCGTGCTCTGTCCCGAGTGATCTGCAAGCCAAGGTAGCTGCGCAGTTCACCCAGGTCAGTGCACGTGTGTCTCTTCTGCAGCTCGGACTTCACGTAGGCGAGTCCAGCAGTGTCAGCTGTGGCAAAGATCAAGTCGTCGACGTACACGAGGATGTAGAACGGCGGCAGAGAGGTGTCGGTGCGAAGAAACAGCGACGGGTCGGCAGTAGAAGGAGCAAACCCAAGTGCCGCCAGCGTAGTCCTCAGTGTGTCGTGCCACTCACGTGGCGCCTGGCGGAGACCGTAGACTGGACGCCGGAGACTCCACTGGGTACCAGGAGGGAAAGACCCAGTGAAGCCAGGTGGGCGACGCAGCCAGATCTCCTCGTGCAGGCTGCCCTGCAAGAAAGCAGTGCTGAAGTCGAGAGAGTGCAGCTCGTAGTCACGGTGAGCAGCAACGTGCAGCAGTACCCGAAGAGTGGTCATCTTCGGGGTGGGGGAGAAGGTCTGAAAGTAGTCAACCCCCTGCCGCTGACTGAAGCCACGAGCCACGTAACGCGCCTTGAAGACAGGCGGAGAACCCGGCGGCCGCTTCACCCTGAAAATCCACATGCCACTGACGATGTTCGCCCCAGGAGGGGGAACAGCGTCAACGTAGGTGCCTGTGGACTTCCAGGAATCCATCTCTGCATCCATAGCTGCCTGCCACTGAGAGGAATAGGGACCCTCTATCGCCTCCGCGTAAGAGCGCGGAGTCGGGATGTCTAGTGCATCCGGGTCTCCCTCAGGGGCTAGCAGTAGAGACGCGAGATGAGGTGAAGCGGCGGCCAGACACTGGAACTCCTCCTGCCTGTCCTCAAGGACGTCCGTGCCAAGGGCACACTCACCCCCGACGGACGGAGGACAGGCAGACTCAGACTCAGCGACAAGACTAGCAGCGTAGTCTAGACGACAGCGAGCAGCAAAGTCGACGAGCTCAGTGACAAGGGTAGACGCAGCAGAAGACTCAAAAGAAGGGTCAGTGACAGCAGTAGCAAGGAGACGCGTGACAGTGGGACTGGCAACACGAAGAGAGTCCGACTCCGGGTCGGCAAGAGCAGGAAGAGAGGAAGAAGGAGGAGAAGGCAAAGGGGCACGCAGAGGAGCAGTGGACGGACGCAGAGACATCCTGTGCGTGCTAGGGACAGGAGGAGGACGCTGACGCGAACCGCAGCCACTAGTGCGTGCAGGACGAACAGGCGACGCAGGACGAGACGCAGGCTCACGACGCTCAATAAGACCTCCAGTCGGACCAGTGTAGAGAGAAGGAGCAGGCAAAGGGGAGACAGGCTGTAGCTGTGACTAAGACTGGACAGGCTGTGGACCCTCTAAGGGAGGAGGAGGAGGACGAAGAACCTGCTGCAGGAGCGGAACGAAGAACGGTCGGGGCCGCGTGGCGACGTCAGAAACAGCAGGGACAGCACCAGTACCCCCAGCAGGAGTACCCGCTCCAGCAGCACCTCCAGCAGCACCTCCAGTAGCTCCAGAGCCCCCAGCAGCACCAGGAGCCCTGTCAGTCGGACCACCAGCATTAGTCTCAGCGCCAACACCCTCAGCAGCACCAG